AACCTCTTCCCGCAGGTGCCGCGGTCTCAGGTGAGCTGCTCCGGGCAGAGCTGAGGGGGCGGCGCCCTGGGTGGACAGGGAAGATGTAGGGGCGTGGGCCTGCTGGTGGCGTCGAGGACCCTGGCATGGTGCCTGGGAAGGAGCAGGTTTTCTGCAGGTAGGCCAGAGGAAGGACTTGTCCAGGGGCAGGAAAGTCTGTCCTGAAAAGGGCTGATCCCAGCAGACTGGGTATAGGTTCTGGAAAGGGACGAAGGGGTTGCCAGGGACTCCAGTGGGGAGAGTCGCAGGGGACTAACAAAGGAGTTGGGTTCCTACAGTCGTGACAGGGTCCTCTTTGGGTTGGGGGCTTTGGTGAAGGTTGAGGCAGCAGCAGGGCCTGGAGAAAAGAGCATCTGAAATGGGATGAAGATGGAATGGGAATTTAGGGTCTGCAGCCAGTTGGACATCTCAGCAGCTGGACATTCCAGAAAGCAGCAATAGAGATGGAGGATGGAATTGTTTGACTGAGTTGGGGCCTAGGGCCCCTGGCAGGTGGCTGGATGCCAAAGCGGGGCTGCCTTGACCCATTGTCTTGTAGGCCTAGGCAGGAGAGGTACTGGGAGGGAAGGAGCTGGGGAGGTGGAGCTACTGGTGGAGAGTTGAGGGGCTGCAGGGAAGAGGTTGGTCCCTTTCCCAGGATCCTCTGGCATGGCTTCTGGCAGCTCAGTTCATGAATGTGTGTGTGTTGCTTATCGTGTTCCCTGGAGAGGGAGCCCAAGTTGTGTGTGGAGAGCCCTGTGCATGGGCACTGTTCAGGGGTCTCAGGAGGCTGAATGTGGCATGCATGAGCATTCTGGGAGATCCAGGAAGGAGGGCTGCTGACACTACATCTGTCAGTCCTCAGTCACGTGGGGTGACGTGGGGGTGAGTGTTATGGAGTCATGATTTGAATGATTCATCCAGGTCCACAGGCCAGCTTCTGGGGAGACCCTTCCTTGTACCAGAGTGCCCCCACCACTTTGCTAGACCCCAGCTTTCTGGGCCAGTCTTCCCGTCCTTCACCAGGGCTGGGTTTGAGCATCAGAACATGTCTTCCGTCAGCGGCTGGGACTGCTCTGACTCTCCTGGGAGCTGTGCTTCCCCCTCCGCACCCTCTACTCAGCACCCACGCTGGCCAGCACCACCATTGCATCTCTTGAGGGTTGTCTCCAAGCCAGCAGGCCCGTGGGGAGGGTGGTAATTTCCCACCCTGGCTGCCTGCTAGAGGGAGGTTGGCAGAGAGGCCTTTGGCAAGGCCAGATGGGGTGGGAACAGCCTAGGGATGGCCTGATGGGGGCAGGACCAGGGCCTCCCTGTGCCGGGCACTGCTGACTGCTTCTTCATAAGAGCCTTTTGTTCTCTGCACAGGACACGCTGAATAATAATTCTTTAGGCAAAAAGCACAGTTGGCAGGACCGCGTGTCTCGGTCATCCTCCCCTCTGAAGACAGGTAAGTGAGACCTCTCTCCCTGAGTTGGAGACCCAGTGTCTTCCCCTGGCCCACCTGGGCTGAGGTCGCCAGTGACTGGCTGCAGAGGACAACTGGGAAGAGGAGGGGGCAGGTATCCGGAGTGGGGCCCATCTCTCAGTACCAACTCGCCTGTCCTCTAGGGGAGCAGACACCTCCACATGAACACATCTGCCTGAGTGACGAACTGCCGCCCCAGAGCAGTCCCGTTCCCACCAAGGATCGCGGCACCTCCACCGACAGCCCTCGCCGCCGCAGTGCTGCCACTCAGATGGCACCTCCGAGTGGTCCTCCTGCCGCTGCACCTGGTGGCCGCGGCCACTCCCATCGAGACCGAATCCACTATCAGGCAGATGTGCGGCTCGAGGCCACTGAGGAAATCTACCTGACCCCGGTGCAGAGGCCCCCAGACCCTGCAGAGCCCACCTCCACCTTCTTGCCACCCACTGAGGGCCGGATGTCGGTGAGCTCTGATCCGGACCCTGCGGCTTACTCTGCAACTGCAGGGCGGCCACACCCCTCCATCAGTGAAGAGGATGAGGGATTCGACTGCCTGTCATCCCCAGAGCGAGCTGAGCCACCAGGTGGAGGGTGGCGGGGAAGCCTCGGGGAGCCACCGCCGCCTCCACGGGCCTCACTGAGCTCGGACACCAGCGCCCTGTCCTACGACTCGGTCAAGTACACACTGGTGGTGGATGAGCATGCCCAGCTTGAGCTGGTGAGCCTGCGGCCATGCTTCGGAGACTACAGTGATGAAAGCGACTCTGCTACTGTCTATGACAACTGTGCCTCTGCCTCCTCACCCTATGAGTCAGCCATTGGTGAGGAGTATGAGGAGGCCCCTCAGCCCCGGCCTCCCACCTGCCTCTCGGAGGACTCCACACCGGATGAGCCCGATGTCCACTTCTCTAAGAAGTTTCTGAACGTCTTCATGAGTGGCCGCTCTCGCTCCTCCAGTGAGTCAGTGAGCGGGGAATGTGGGGGGGACCCTGGCCAGGGAGAGCTGATGGTCTGTCTGAGAGCAGGACAGAGCTTTCTACTTGCCCCAAGCTGAGGCCACCTCCTCCAGCCTCTTGACTTCCTACAGGTGCTGAGTCCTTTGGGCTGTTCTCCTGTGTCATCAATGGGGAGGAGCAGGAGCAATCCCATCGGGCTATATTCAGGTGAGGGCTGCCCCTCCCTACCCCCTTCCCTACCCCCTTCCCTACCCCCTTCCCTACCCCCTTCCCTACCCCCCTTCCCTACCTCTACCAGCCCATCACTGGCATCCCTCTGCTGCTGGGGGATAGTGTCCCCCTGTAGGAACTTAGCTTAATGACACAGTGCTGGGGTGTCATGAGGAAGCTAGGACTATGCACCTAACCTGGTGAGGGGCCAGAGAGATACCTGCCCTGCATAGAACCTGCGCCCCATCTTGCCTCTAGGCAAGGTGCTCATTTTCCATGGCTTTTTCATTATCAAGGCCTAGGCTCCCTTCCTCCCTGGCCCCTGAAATCTTGTGTAGCAGATGCATATCTGAGTGTCATGTGTCCCCTAGGAGACAGCACTGTGACAGGCGCATGGGTATTTTGTAAATGTCAGTGGCTCAGGACCCCACATTAGGCTAAAGAACCCTGACGGTCAGCACCTCACATGCCTTTGGGGACAGGTTTGTGCCTCGACACGAAGACGAACTTGAGCTGGAAGTGGACGACCCTCTGCTGGTGCAGCTGCAGGCAGAAGACTATTGGTACGAGGCCTATAACATGCGCACCGGAGCCCGAGGTGTCTTTCCTGCCTACTATGCCATTGAGGTCACCAAGGAGCCTGAGCACATGGCAGGTAGTACTTTCCTCCAGTTTGGTCCCACCCACCCACCCCTGCTTCTACCCACCCACCTGGCTGCCAGTGAACATGCACCCCAGGTCTTAGGCCGCCGGGGAGGAGAGCAGAGGTTCCATTACCCAGTTAGTAAGTGAGGCGCAGCCAATCAGGGCATGTGAGGATGGCAGCATCCTCTGCTGCCTGAGTCACTCCACATGCTGCACCGTCCCTTCTTGGCTTGGCTCTGAGCCCCCTGCTGATGGCTCTCTTGCTTATTGTATGGTTGCTTCCTAGCCCTTGCCAAAAACAGCGACTGGATTGACCAGTTCCGGGTGAAGTTCCTGGGCTCCGTCCAGGTTCCTTATCACAAGGGCAATGATGTCCTCTGTGCCGCTATGCAAAAGGTACCCACATCTGGCTCCTTGCCTTTTCCTGGGGGGTGCCTATCCTCAGCCAGCCCTCACTATCGGGGAAGAGTACACAAGGGTCTGGAGGCAGTGCTGGGACATGAGGGGTCCACAGAGAAACACAGAGCTTCCAACATGGCTCTGTTCCTCATGCAGATTGCCACCACCCGCCGGCTCACCGTGCACTTTAACCCACCCTCCAGCTGTGTCCTTGAGATCAGTGTCAGGGGTGTCAAAATAGGCGTCAAAGCCGATGATGCTCAGGAGGCCAAGGTGACTTCCTTCAGGCCCCAGCCTTCCTGCCCCATGTGCGTCTCCTTCCCCTTCATTTCTCGCCTGCCGCGTGCCTCTCCTCTCCCTGTGGACCTGCCCTATCCCCACTGGCCCACCTGCCCGCTTCCCCCTGCAAACTGTCTTCTCTCATCCCTTCTGTAGGGAAATAAATGTAGCCACTTTTTCCAGCTAAAAAACATCTCTTTCTGTGGATACCATCCAAAGAACAACAAGTAAGTAGGAGAGGCAGACATGAGCGTCCCAGTGGCAGTCCCGGGCCATCATGGGTGGGGATGGGTAAGAACCTTGTCTTACAGATAGATGCCTGCCTACCTTCCCACAGGTACTTTGGGTTCATCACCAAGCACCCTGCTGACCACCGGTTTGCCTGCCATGTCTTTGTGTCTGAAGACTCCACCAAAGCCCTGGCAGAGTCTGTAGGGTAAGAGTGTGTGTACATGCATGTGCGTGCGTGTGTGTGTGTGTGTGTGTGTGTGTGTGTGTGTGTGTTGGTGAGGGTCTGCCCAGGTAATATGCCCTGTCACAAGACTGGAGCTTCTTCATGCCCAGTGTATTACTGTCACCCTTGTCCTGGGAGCCCCACTCCTGGAAGAGGTTGGGAGGTGCTAAGGAGCCCAGGGTCTGGACCACTTCCTTGATAATTAGCTACTGGGCCCTTTCTCAACTAGTCCTTTCCTCTTTGGGAAATAACTGCCCAGAGAACAGAGCTAAGCCGTCCCAGAGTCCCCAAGAGCCTTCGGAAGAACCTGGCTCGAGGCTCCTGGTCACCCAGTGTCCCCCATTTTCCAGGCGTGCATTTCAGCAGTTCTACAAGCAGTTTGTGGAGTACACCTGTCCTACAGAAGATATCTACCTGGAGTAGCAGCACCGCTACCCTCTGCAGCCCCTCAGCCCCAGGCCAGTAGTAGGACAGCTGGCTATGGACAGGATGTGGTACTGCCACAAGAGAATGGGGAAGTGCGGGCTGCTGGGGTGGGGGCCGGGGTGTGGGGAGAGGCAGATGCAGTTTATTGTAATATATGGGTTTAGATTCATCTATGGAGGACGGTACAGGCTCTCTGGGGACTGGGGAAAGGTGGGGCTGGGGGGGTCAGGCCTCTGACCACAAAGGGATCCCCTAGGAACAGAGGCACTGCCCTCCCTATCCTGGGCCTTGTTTCATGCCGGGGACCCTGGCTTCTCTGGCTCTTGGCTCCTGCCTTGACAAAGCCCATTCCACCTGGAAGTGCCCACCTTCCTGTCCCCACCTCACCTAGAGCCCCGAGCTCAGGCTGAGCCCGACCACCTCCCAAGGACTTTCCAGTGAGGAAATGGCAATACACGACAGTGAAGACCTTGTTCTCAGCCGACGTTGTCCGTGGGGCCTCCAGGCAGCTCCGACCTCCAGCCTGGCCAGCATGCTGGCCCTGGCAGGCTTGTGTGTGCTAGCAAGGAGAGGGCTACAGCAAGGCCTGCCTGGCAGGGAAAGGAGGCCTCTCAGCTGGTCCCAGCCAACCCCATCACTGTCTTGTCACCTGGCTACTACTATTAAAGTGCCATTTCCTGTCTGGACCACAGTGGGTGTATTCACTCGGACCCCTGCTGGGCCTTCTTGTTACACACAGGCTAGCAAGCCAAGCATTTGCTGCCCAGAATAGCTTTATGCGGGGTTCCCATCACAGATTCACATCATAGTAATAGTCAGCCATGTTGGGCCCGTCCCGCTTGCGCTGCTGGGCCCGAGAGAGAAGGGGTCGGGGCCCTCGTGGCCACGGGTGCTTGGGTCTGACCCCATAGTCTAAAGAGAGAAGAAGATAAGGGTGGAGGGAAGGGCTGCTGACTTGGAATAGGGCTGTAGCCAGCTCTGAAGAGGCAGTCTGGGAGGAGGAGACACAGGACTTGGCCCTAGGGGACCTCTAGGGGCACCTGCTGTGGAGGGAGGGTGGGGAGGGGAGAGAAATACTACCATCCACTAGGCCTGAGAGCGGCTGTGCGAGTTCCAGCGGGGCTGAGAATTCCTCAGGAACAGATCGCAGAGACCTATGGGAAATGTTGCTGTGCTGAGCCCTGGCCCCAAAGGCCATAGCCACTCTCCTTTGCGGGACAGCCCAGGGTGGAGTCTCCATAAACTAACCCTTCCCAGGATAATGGTCAGCCTTGTCCAGTCTTCTAGGCCCTGAGGCTCTGACCTTACCTCTGGGGCTGCGGTCGAAGGAGGGCGCCTGCCAGGATGAGGTAAAAAAGGAAGAGGCTGAGCCCAGCCCTGGGATACAGAGCCCCCAGCATGGCGAGAACCATCTCCTATACAGTCCCTGCTGTGGCTTCTGCCTGCCCCTCCCCCAGCAGGACAGAACCTGGGGCCAGTTCTCAGGGCCACCTCACAAAGGACATTAGTTCCAGAGCTCAGCATCAGCACCAGCACTGCCTTCCTTCACGTCTTGAAGACTTTGGAGGCAGGGTTTCTCTGTGTAGCCTTGGTTGTCCTGGGACTCACGTTGTAGACCAGGCTGGCCTTGAGCTCTGCCTCCCAAGAGCTGGGATCAAAGGTGTGCACCACTACTGCCAGGCCCAGAGAAGACTCTTGTTCCATACCACTGCTTTAGTATTATGTCCCTGCCAGGAAACCTCCCTTCCTCAGTTCTAGGGACCTGGAATGCCATGCTAGCCAACTCCAAAGCCTCATCCATCACTGGACTCCTGGGTACCGCCCTATTCCTCTACCCACACAGTCCCCATGGTCTGCTGCAGTTATTCATCCCCTGCCCCATTGCCTTGACTGAGCGTCGCCCATGTCATGGCTGATGTCACCCACTCTCTCGTCTCTGCACAGAACACCAAGGGTATGGTGCCCTACCGAACTTTTCCCTGGGCCTCATGCCATCCACTCCGTATGTCCACACAGCACAGCACTTCAGTGTTGTCTCCACCAAGACCCTGCACAGCTGCTTTCGACACACAGCCCTCCCTGCCCCAGCTGCTGTCAGGAAACTGACCTCAGGGTGAGGGGTGTGGCTTGGCGGTTAGTCTCCACCCATCTCCAGAATAACACAAGCCCTGCAGTTTTGAGTTTCACCGCCTGCTGGAAGGCCTTGCTCTCCTCTGCCACACCACCTCCACCTTCAAGATCCCACTGTAGTACATACACAGGTGACCTGCTAGTCGGGAACTGTGAGGCTGGGGACCCTAGGTTGCATGGCACTGAAGCCTGCTACAGTGTAAGCAGCACCCAGGATGCTTGAGCCTGAGCAGAGGGTCACAGGTTCCAGAGCCCCCAGACTGACAGGCTGCCCTTGCCACTGCTGCTCAGAGCCCAGGGGTGTGCTTCTCAGAATCACATGGCAAGCATGTCAGGTTGAGTTGGGGCTATGAGAGCACATTGGAGGAGGGGGGCCTGAAAGACAGGTGCAAACAGTGTCCTCCAAAGTCAAGGGCACCACTGCTGAGAACAGTCCATGCAACAAAAGGACAGGAACAAGGTAGGGGTGACAGCTTAACCCTAGAGTCCCTCACTGAGACTGCCATGAGTTTGAGGCTAGTGAGTCTGTCTAAAAGACAGAAACAGAAGGACAAAGGGAGAGACGGGAGGACAGACACTAAGGACAGTGAAGTTCAGGCCCTCTTCTCACTTCCCCACAATAGCCTGCATGGCGCACACACACAGATCCAGGTTCGCACTCTATCTCGTCCCAGCCCCGGCAGATCTGACTTCCGCCATAGAGAAGAGCTTCTAGGGTGCAGGGCTGGGCTTGCTGTTTAGCCCTGTGGGGGAAAGGGGAAACAGAGACCATGGCTAGAAGGCATAGTGGACCATGGTTCTCCATGGCCTGGTTCCACTCGTCTTCACCAGAGACCAGTGAGAAGGGAAGCATCTAGTCACGCAGTTCATTCAAATGGTGACCCATGCTGGAGAAAGTTGAATCAGTCTGCTGTGCCGAGATGAAGCTGCCCCCCTGGACCTGACGGAGACTTCCTGCCCAGTGACAAGGCAGGCTGCTGTGGCTCCATCCCAGGAAGGTGTGAGAAGGAACAGCTGTGGTGACCAGGGCTGAGAAAGCAGAACTGCCAGGGCAGGTGCCGGCTGGTGGACACAGAGCCACATGCTGGAACACTACCAGAGTCCGTTTTATTAGAGAAGAGGGCCCGGGGGACTGGAGGGCTGGGGCAAGGCCCACCCAGAGCAACAGAGCACACCACGTGACCCGCCCTGCACCTGCACCCACTCCTGCTGTCTGTCAGCCCCAACTGTAGAAATAGATTTTCTGCCAGGAGGGCAGGTAGTCCATGAGCGGCCCTGCAAGGAGAGGGAGGAGGAGTTAGGGCTAAGCCGGGCCCCCGGGCACTGCCCCAGGCCCCCGGGCACTGCCACCAGCACAGCAGCTCACACCTGCACCATCTGCTCTGTCTCCTGCCTCTCTGCCGCCGCCATGCTGGAGATGTGATTTACAGACAAGGACCCCTGGCTTCAGGGGAGCCAAGTAGCATGACCAGCATGTCTTCCTTTATGGTCAGGTACCCAGAGAGGCCCCAAGGCCCCTCCTTGCCTTACCAGATCAGACTGCCTCCTATGATTCAGGTCACAGAGTCAGGAGAGGGCTTGCCACCTGATGTGGCCTAATAATCCTACACACAGGTACTCTTCCAGCCACCTCCACACCTCCATGGGTCAACTTAGGCCCTGGAGTGTCACCTCCCAACACCAATTTAGGGTTCACACTTGACTGCCCAATAATCAAACCAAAAAGAGAACAAACAGTAAGATAGGGCCATTTGTGCCTCAGGGACATTCCACAGCCACACTGTCCCGCCCATACTTACTTGCTACTAGGCCAACGCCAGGGACATGGTCTGCAAGGAGCTGGAGTAGGAAGAGGATCTTGGCTCTGAACAGGAAGAGAACAGCATGGTGGGGTGGGTCCCCGCACACCGGAGCTAAAGGCCTTGACTGAGCACCAGGCATTTCAGAAAACAAGGGGCTAGGACAGGTCACTGGCACTGTACCTATCTACAGCTGCACCTACTGTTCACAGCTCTGTCCACTTGGCAGTTGGTACACATCACAACACTCACTCTCCCCTCTTTTCGACCTTCCTACCATTGGCATTCAACAACAGTGCTTCCTAAAGGTCCCTTTGCAGCAAGGCCTATGCCCTGGAGGTTTCTGGAGGGAGGTAAACTGGTAGAAGAGCTGAGCTACTTAGAAACCTCACAAGCCAATGCTCAGAGCAGGAAGGGGACACGGTGCTAAGGGTCCCTGCTGGCTCAAAGAGATGCTTGTTGTCTAAGATATGGGACTTTCCACAGGGGAACTTGGGGTGGGACAAAATGATATTGGGAACAATCAAAGAACACATATGGGATAGAGGTGTGGTTCATGTTTGAGGCCTTGGGTTTCGTCCCCAGCAGCACTGAGGTTAAAAAAAGACCTAACATTTATCACATGCTCATTGCAGATACCAAGCACAGCCAGACACATTCAGTTATCTGACCCCAACAACATCCTCTCAGATGGGTGTCATCACTATCCCCACTTTTTAGGTGAGGAATTGAGCCCAGAGGCCTCACAGTCCAGCTCCTGCTCAGTCAGATACTCCACCACAGATCACAGGTACCCTGGCAGGCTGTTCTGAGAGATTTCTCTGGCTAAGGCAGATGCTCTGATCCCTCATAGGTGATCAGTGTGGGATGGGCCAGCCCCTTTGAAGTGCAGCACCTGCTCTGAAAAGTGAATACCCTGTGGTGAAAAGAGCTGGAGACAGGTGGTCTGTCTCAACTGTGGCCTTGCAGAACTCTTAATCTCCCCTTATAAACTCACACTGGCCTGACAAGGGCAGGTGGTTCTAGTGGCTGCTTCCTGAACAGCTCCAGAACCAGCAAGTACTCAGCCGACCCCAGCTCTCTCCATGCAGCATGGATGGCCCCGCCCATGTGAGGTGGTCCTTACTCAGAGAAGCGGTCATAGAACGGTGAGCGCAGCAGGTAGTACAGCAGCAGGATTGTACGGCGCCTCAGCTCTAGCCGCTCCCTTCGGGTCAGGCTCTTTCTGTCACTCAGGAGACTCAGGCTGTTGGGAAGGGACATAGGAACAAGGATGAACTATGTCACTGAGAGGGAAAAAGCCATAGACTACGATAACCCAACAGCAAGCAGAAAGCCCCATGGAAGGAATGGAATCCCTTGCGGACACTCACCTAGTCATATCTACCACACCAGACAGTAGCCAGGGTGTCCATGACCGCTGACCCCAGAAGCCCAGGCTGAGCACTGACGGTCAAGGTGTCAAGGATGTCTCCAGTGCAGGGTCCAGCTCCGCTCCTCCCCAACCCACCTCCAGCACAGCTAAGGATACAGTGCAGCAGGGGCCGGGCGATATACAAAGACTCTGCAATGGTCTCCTGCAGCCCCAGAGGGGTTGGGGGTGTGCTCAGTTCCTCCTGCTGCTGCTTCTGCCGAATTTCCCGCTCCTGGGGGGCTCCCCAGTGTCTTGAGTGCAGGGATGGGCCTAGAACATAAGGATAGGCAAGTCAGCCGGAAGCTGAAGTGGGTGCGGACAGAAGCCAGTCCCTCAGGCTCACACTGACCTCAGCACCTAGGTGCCCAGTCCAGCTACATCTTCCACTTACTGTTCTGGAGTGTTCGCACCACTCTGTTTGACCGTTTCCCCACATAGGATGGCTCCTGGCTGCCTGGGTTGTGCTCGCCATCTAGCAGGTAGAGACGGGACATAATGTAAGAGGGACACATTCCTAGCAGAGCCTGCAGAGAACATGTGTACAGCGAATGCTTGAGGAGCTACTGGGAGAACACAAGAGCCTGTCCCGAGGCAGCGCCTGAGCAAAGGTAATCACACCCAGGGACTGTGGTTCACTAAGAAATCTTTCCACAGAGGGAAGCATTCTGGAACCTACCCTGGCCCAGGAAGGCGGCCATCATAGTCACAGCTAAGCAAGAACCTAGGCTTCCAAGACACTGGAGGAAGAAAGGGAAGGCCCAGCCCAACCACAACTATTGGGGCTATGGGACCAGGAGGCCATGTTCTCTCAGTCCTTTGCTGTCAACATGTTGATGTGGAAGGCACATCACTGTCTCCACTCAAGGCAGGGAGGAGACAAGGCTGACAGAGGGGCCAAAGCAGTCTTGAGCTGCCTCTTGAGGCTGTGGTTCATGATGCAGAACCAGGCCCAGAGTCACTGTTGGCAGGACACCTACTTGTCCTACTTCCTGAAACCCACAAGACCGAAGGAGGACTCTGACACCACAAGTTCAAGTTCAGGGTGGGAGCGTATCTCAGTGGTAGAGCACCTGCCTCACATGCGCAAGGCCCTGGGTTTGAGCGCTAGGATCACAAAAAATAAATAAAACCCCCCAAGTTGAAGTTCTGATTTTCTCCAAACCTTGTCTTTCTTAGAGAATAATGGGTGCTGAGCTGATGGGAAATGTGCTCCAGATTCACAGTGCAGTCCCATGTCCCATCCTACTTCAAGGCAGAGAAGCAGCTTACCCAAGGGCTGTGCCTGGGTCTCCCTGTCCAGCGGAACAATGGGGGGTGAGGTCTGAATGCCAGCCTTGAACCAGATCAGCAGGAACATGCGCAGGACAGCCCTGAGTTGGGAGTATAGTACAGTTAGGGGAAGTGGCTAGAAAGCAGGTGGTAAGGCTGCTCTGCTGAGCACCCTCAAAGCTGGCCCGGGTCACCCCACCTCAGTCCTGCCCTCCACAACCCAACCTACTTGGCCAGCTGGATGAGAGCAATGACGAGCCAACGGCCTACTTCACCCCACACCTTGGCAGCCCCCATCTCCATGAACACCTCCACACACTCCAGCACGCTCAGCCATGTCAGCAACTTCTGCTGGGACAGCGACTGCAAGAAGCCCAGAGGTCAGGGAGCTTCTCTAGCCCCAAGTGCTGTCCTAGAGAAAGAGGCTCTCTGCAGGTGGGGACTTCCCCTTTTCCAGGCCTCACACCTGAGTTCAGACACCAACTCCACTGCTCACAGGCTGGCTGGCTTGGGATAGGCTTTCCCATCGCCCTGACACTTCATGCATATGAGACTAGGACAATGAACACTGGTCTGAGGCGCATATGGACACGGGCATGTCTCACACTCTGAGACTGCAACATGTACCACATGTGTGCCGGTGATTCCTGGTTTCTTCCCAAGTCCCTGAGCTCCCCACCCTCAGCTCCCGGCAGAATTCTCACCACAGGCAACTTTTTTCGAAGCTCCTTCCGGAGGATCCCATCATTGAGCAGCACCAGCAGGTTAGAGGCAGAGTACACTGAGAAGCAGAGCGTGGTCTTCAGAGGCTGGCTCTGATGTGGCCTTCACCCCTCTCACCTTTACCCCAGAGCTCTACAGATCACCTGTCACAAGTCCTACTCAGCTACCCACAGACTGTGTGGAAACCAACATGCCTCTTCTCCCACTTCCCGAGAGCCCTGTTCTCCTGAGGATGGCATCTGAACCAATAATAACTGAGCTGATTACAGTGACAAGCTAGCCCTTGTTCTGCTGGAGCACACTGGTTACTGAGCTATTCAGAACTGCCTGTCGTACTCCCAACAGCCAGATGTGTGGCTCCACCACGTCACCTTTGCTCTCTCTGCAGATCGTCCCCTCCTTTTCAAAATCTACCTCACCCTTTCATGACCATCACTGCCCCCGCTAGCTAAGCAAACACAGCTGAGGCATTTATAGTATGGGGGTTGTGGCATTTGGTCCGAACATCAGGGACCATTCCCCAGCTTCACTGACCTTTTATTCCCTCAGCTAGACATTACAACAGTGCCCTCCTCATACTCATAGGACTGATCAACTAGAAAGGGCAGAAAAGTCGCTTAATCCTGAGCCAAACCAGGAGTGAATGGCCAGTCGAGGTCCTCCCTCGAAGGTCTCCCTACTCTGGGAACACCAAGGGTCCTGGACAGTGGACAGCTGAACTTGTCTGACTGAGAGACAAGTTTATTGATCTAAAGGGCAGCCCAGGCCCCGGAGCCAGGGTGGTCCTCTGGAAGCCTTGTCCCTCCCCAGTCCAGAGCCCAACTCACCCAACTCAGACAGCTCGTGTGAATCGGAGAAGCGACCTGGGAAAGAAGGTACAGGAGGCGTTGGTGAGCGTTTGTTCCACCCTGCGGCTTTGGGCCCCCTAACTCTGTATACGCCACAGGAACCTAGACAGAACTCAAACACGGTGACCACTACCCTGAGTCCGCAAGGAAAGGGCCATAAGTCACGGGTCAGGCTCCCGAAGAAATGGGTCAAAGGTCAGTGTGGCACCTGCCAGCAGGTAACTGAGGCCCCGCACTGCCGTCTCCAGCTGGGCCGTGGCGGCTGGGTGACGAGTCACGTACTCCTGGTAGCGGAGGCCCAGGAGTCGCAGCTTCTCCATCCTGCTCCGGCCACCGACAGTCCCACTAGCCGACAGCACAGCTGGCGCGGCGCCCTGCGTCCTGCGCCCTCCTTCCTGCTTCCGGCCCTAAGCCCGCCTCCCAGTTGCTCAACTTCCGCAGCCCAGGACTAGCTAGACGCGCGAAGGCCCTGAACGCCCCTTCACCCCATCTCTAGCACCTCCTCCCAGCAACCGTGAGCTCCCACCCTCCCTCCTTCCAGCCATTGGCTCCCTCACTCTCCGCCCTGAAGCTCCTAGAGCCTCAGGCATGCGGTCTTCAACCTTCTTGGTTGGCTGTCTTGGCGCCTGCGCAGTTGCAGCTTGGCGGCAGGCTGAGCAGTTCATTCTAGAGAAGGGAACACGAAGTCTCAGGCTTTCCCAGCAGATCGCCGAGAGGCTCGAGCGAGAGGGCGGGACAGCAAAGGGCTTGGGATTTAAGGCGCAAGGAACCTCGAAACTGTCGTAAATGGGTCTCACAAACCGCCAGTTTCCAGTTCCCCACAAAAGCCAGTGCCGAGGAAACTGAGGCAAACCTAGCCAGCAGATTTAGTGCCGTGGCTCCGGCTCCAGCTCCTTCAGGGCATGTGGACCCCCAAAACCCGTAGCCAGATGACTACTTCGGCGGAGAATACCCTGGCCTAGCCTTCTGCTCTCTACTTAGGGATGAACCTGCGCATAAACTTCCCTTATCTGCACCTCAGATTTCCCTGTCTACAAAATTTTGGGGGGCCGACTTGGATCTTGAACTCGGAACGAATGTCAGCGTTTTCTGACCCTTAGATGTACCTCCTGGCTCTCAGCTGAGCCCCAAGAGTTGGGGTAACTGCTAGAGATCCACTTCTGAACCGAGCAACAAAACTGCTAAAGTCAAGGCACTGTAGAAGTGGGGGGCGGGGGGCGGGGAAACCCGTTCCGGGGAATCAGCTGATTGGCTGTGGGAAGAGGGGGCGTGGCAACTCTGCGCCATTGCTGACTCCGCCCGCGAATTTATGGTATCCGTTGAATTAAACACGTTTGTTTAATACCCTATCAAATATTATCTTCAGACAAGGACAGGATATGCCCATCCAGTATATCACATGCATGTACGAAAATGCCATCATGAAGCCCATATTTTGGTTTGTTTGTTTTGAGATGGTCCCACTATGTATCCTTGACTGGCCTGAAATTCACAGAGCTGCCTACTTCTGCTTCTTAAGTGCAGGGATTAAATGCGAGTACCATCAAGACAGGCGAAGCGCATTGTTTTGTACAATTCATAAACACTAATAAAAATGTTCATAAAGGAACTGGAGAGATGGCTCAGGGGTTAAGAAATGTTCACTTAAGAATCTTTTTAAAAGCTGGGTATGGCACTGCATAGAAAAAGCACTTGTTGCTCTTGCGAGGTTTGGTTCCCAGTACCTGCATGGTGGCTCACAACCATCTGTAATTCCAGTTTTAAGAGGATTAGATGCCTTCTTATGATCTCTTGGCAAGCACCAGGCAGGCCCACATGTGGGTATGCAGAAAGACATGCAGGCCAAACTCATATATAGATATATGATGAAATAAATCGTAAAATAAAAGGCTGGGCATGGGGGCTCATCCCTGTAAGTAATTCCAGCATTTAGGCAGAGTCAAGGGGATCGATGAAAGTACAAAGCCAGTCTTATCCGTATAGTGAGTTCCAGGTTAGCCTCAGCTAGAGTAAGACTTTGTTTTTAAAACTTAAATTAAAATTATTTTTAAAATGCCTGCTATGTCTAGTCATGATTGGAATGCTGCTTTAGTTTGAGCCAGAGGCAGGGCATTTTAAGCACCACACTCACCAGGAAGCCACAATACACTATCACTTCCTTCCCTTTTTTTGTCTATGTGGAGCCATGATCCTATTGTTGCCAACCACACTCATGCCAATGCCTGCAGACAAAGATTCAGGGAGAGGTGCTTGAACCTCAGAAGAGTCTATGGTGTGGGCACCGTAGAAGTCATTCCTCAGCCCGTCCCAAGTGCCACAATGTACTCCTCATCCTATTGGCATTTGTGGTGGATGGTTCAGTCTTCACTGTCCACTTGGTGGGCTTGGAATCACTGTAGAAACAAACCTCTGAGTGGGTCTGTGGGCGTGTCTCCAGGCGAGAGGACTCAGCCTAGCTGTTTGTCTCCTTATTTCGTGGGTTAGAGTCCTAGGCTGAATAAAAGAGAAAGCAAGCTGGGCATCAATGAGCATCTTTCCCTGTCTCCTGATTGAGGATACAACATGGCCGGTTACCGCAGGCTTCTGAAACCACAGCTGCCCCACCATGATGGATTACACCCTCAAACTGTGAACCAAAATAAATTTCCCCTTATGCTTGCTTCTGCGAGGGATTCATTTTGTCACAGCTACGAGCAAAGTAACTAATACATCAACCTCGTCAGATTGGTGGGAACTCTTGTCCACAGATGAGGCCCAACTGCTTGTCCCAGATAGCACAGCAAGGCCCTGACCGAAAGGCCCTTGGGAGCATTCTCTAACCCAGCATGAGCCATGACATGATGAGGCAGGCTTGGCTAAGATCTAGGCTCAGGAACTCAATGACTTTACTGCCTTTTGGGCTGTTCCTCCAGCCCTCTGCTGCAGCTGGAGTGAGGGTGTGTGTGTTTGTACTTGTGTGTACATGTGGACAAGTACATGTGTGTAAGATTTTACCAGTCTTTTGTTCTGGGGAGGAAGGAGAGGCCTGGACGACAGAGTGGAATACCACCTCCCCTCCACATCCAGATAGTGAAGGGCCCTTCTCTCCAGTACAGGGGACTGGACCCAGCCAGGCTGTCTGCAGCAGGGCTGCCCGAATTTCCTCTCTAGATCCGAAGCCTGATTAGGCTCCGAGACAAAGAGCAGAGGTGTGTGCAGGCTGGGCAGACTGGAAGGAGGCCCCTCCCTGCTGGATTCCTGCCTGGACCTGGCCGCAGGGCTGGGCGGCAAAGGCCTCTGGATAAATCGGGCTGGATCCTCTCTCCTTCAGTCTGTCCCAAGTCACAGAGGAAGAAAGACCAGTTGGACAGGCACAGATGAGGACACCAGAGACCCAGAGAGGGTGCTGGACAGGTCCAAGATCACAAAGTAAAGTCCTGGGCAGGGCTGGCTCAAATGGGGTCTCAGCTCAGAGGACTAGATTCACTTAATTCCTAAATGTACAAGGGGCAGCTTTCGGTTTCCATAGCAACCTCCAAAGGCTCACAGGCTGATTCCCCATCTCCTAGAGAAAGGCATTCTGATCATCCAGGGGGAGGAGCCAGTCCCAGGCTGTTGTTTATGGGTCTGCCTCATTTTATACAGCTGGATCTTGGGCTAAAGATCCAGCCTGAGCTCCTGGTGAGGCCTAGTGGAGTCCTTGGAGGGCAGGTCCAGTTTCCACACACTGAACCCCTGGAATTGGGTGTGGGGGAGAGCCACAGAACAGACAAGCAACTTCAGCTACCCTTGAGCTGGGAAGATAGCAAGAGATGTGGAGAGTTCTACATTCCGGGGGAAGGAAGGGCAGGGGCAGGTCCCGAGGTAGAAGACCTTAGGGAAGGCCTAGTCACAGCTGGGAGTCTGTGCAGGAGCAGTAACAAATAGCCAGAGGGGGTAGGTTCCTTTCACTCTTCAGGGACAATCTCATCTTGTGTCCTCAGGGGTGATGTGAGGATTAACTGAGCAGAGGCTTGGCAAACACTTAGCTCAGGGCCTGGCACTCAGTACGTGCTCAACCGACCATGGCCAGTCTCCTTCACAACCCAGAGCTCCCTGCACCCCTACAGGATCAGAGACATGCCTGAGGCCTGCTGAGGGGTGGAGGAGAGAAGAGGGAGGAAGGCATCCAGGCCTTGGAGCCCGGCACAATCAACGCACTCTAGACAAGGGCGGGGGGAATCCACGGCCCTGCCCAGGCGGCAATGAGGCCCTCTGCCAGCTCTTGTGCAGGAGAGGAGGTGGCCTTCAAAAGGGCGCAGTGCCCGTGTTTTCCAGTCGCTGCTGGGCCGGGCTGGGCCACCTGGACTAAGGGCCAGGGAGGACGCGCAGGCTACAGGTGTCCCTAGCAGGCCCAGCGTCCTGTCCCGACCTGAGCAGGTGTCTCCAATCCTTGGACCGGACATTCCTTTCCCATCCCCCGCCCCTGGACTCCCGCGGTGCCAGGGCCAATCCTTTGATCCTGAGCTCTGGGTCACGGGTCCCTCCCCTTAGTGGGAGGAATGGGGTCCCAGAGCCAGGAGGGTGCAGGTAGCGGGCACAAGGCCATCCCGGATAGCTGTCCCCGCGGCCTTAAGCCCTCCCGTGCCTTGGTGCAAAACCACCCGAAAGGGGGTTGTAGGTTCGGGGCGGGTTTCGGAGCTGTCCAGTGCAGGGTGAGGGTGGGGCCCTGTCAGGGGTCTCCCCGCCCCTTCCAGCCCAGACTAGCAAAAGGTGAAACCTGAGCCCAGGTTGGGGGCGGGGCTGGCTCGTGGCTCTGCCCTAGTCCCCGCTACCCCGCAGTCGCAGGAGGAACAGGGCCTTCCCCAAGCCACCGGAGCAGGTGAGGCCGACGGCTGTGCCCGGGCAGGTAGAGCAGCCGACGGGCCCCGCGGTCCAGAGCTCCCCCTCCTCTGGTCTTTGGTCCGCAGGGTCCGCGATGGAGTCCGTTGCCCGGGGTCGCTCCCCGCCCTGAGTCCCTCAGACAGCCATGCTGCCCCGAGGGCGCCCCCGGGCACTGGGGGCCGCCACGCTGCTGCTGCTGCTGCTGCTGGTGGTTGGCTTCTTCCTGTTCGGCCGAGACCCTGAGTGTGAGCACTGTGAGCTGGGCAGGCGAGGTGGGGACCCAATGTGCCCTCTGCCTGCTTATGCCACGTGTCCTTTCAGACGGACTACGGGCAGCTGCCACCTTCGATGGAGACCCGTACGGGAGCCGCAACCGCTCCGCCTCCGGCCTGCATCCTCTACTGCCACCCAAGTGCGAGGTAGGTGAGCGTGGCCCCTGGCGGCTGCCACCCCCAGGGTTCCTGACCCCAGCCCAGTCATCTAGGCATCTATGAGAATCACAGTACCTGACATCTGGCCACCCGGCTGGGACATCTGAGGACGCTTAGAACGCACGCCCCCTTCACTCCCCAGTTTCTCCACTTGTGAAATTCAGGCGTTGCCTCTAGGCAACCCTTTCCCCAGCTCTGATGCAAGGTGGGGCTACACTGTTCTAGGTCAGGCTGACTAGGCCGGCCAGTAGAAGTTGGGGACTGTTGCTTGACCTAGCTGTTCCCTCCCCAGCTGTTGCATGTGGCCATCGTGTGTGCGGGATACAACTCCAGCCGAGAGGTCATCACCCTCGTGAAGTCCGTGCTGTTCTACAGGTACAGACAGGCCTCCTGGATGAGGATCAGGACCCACCCACCACGCACCACTGTTCTGAGTTTGTTTCCTCCTCTGTACCGAGGAAACTGAAGTCCTCTTTTTAGGAAGGGGGCGCGGGGGGGGGGGCGGGGTTCATCGGAACATCCTCAAGAGCTCCTTGTAGGAGATAGGGCCTCTCGATTCCTGCACAGCCATGCCAGGCTCTTTCCACCCAAAAGGAAAAATCCGCTGCACCTCCACCTGGTAACCGATGCTGTAGCCAGAAACATCCTGGAGACGCTCTTCCGAACATGGATGGTGCCGGCTGTGGTGATCAGATTCTACGATGCTGAAGAGCTCAAGGCAGGAACCCCTCCCGTGTCGTGTCTCCCGGTCCCGTCTCTCCCCCCCCCCCCCCCTGCGCTCCTGCCTAGCTAGGCCCATCCTCTCCTTACCCCCAGCGGTGGGTGGTAGGAGGGGAGAGACCGTGTCCTACCAAACCTGGAGCCCAAATCTTTCACCTTTTGGGGGGCCATGGCTGCTTTCCACTGTGCCACTTGGTATGCTCTCCCCTCCCCCCAGCCCCTGATCTCCTGGATCCCCAACACGCACTACTCTGGCCTATATGGGCTAATGAAGCTAGTACTTCCCAGCATCCTGCCTCTCAGCCTGGCTCGAGTCATTGTCCTGGACACTGATGTCACCTTCTCCTCTGACATTGCGGAGCTATGGGCACTCTTTGCTCACTTTTCTGGTGAGACACCTGCAACTCTGCCCTAGCCTGCCCCCTCCCCGGCTTACCCAGGTTCCTGCTGTGGACTAGCCCTGAGCCCACATCCCCAGGCAGCTCCCTCCTGCCCTCCCCTCCCAGACAAGCAGGTGGTTGGTCTCGTGGAGAACCAGAGCGACTGGTACCTGGGCAACCTCTGGAAGAACCATAGGCCCTGGCCTGCCTTGGGCAGGGGATTTAACACAGGTGGGCACAGTGGTGAGGGAGGCAGGATGGGGTGGGCAGCTGGGCCTCAGTGGTGGGATGGGCACAGAATGCTAAGAAGCCCCCAAGAAACTCTGGCAGCATTGTGGAAGGGACAGGGGATGAAGAGAACTCTCCCACTTTGCATGTTTGGACCAAATGGCTGTGGTCAACTCATTGTTTCCTTTAAGACCCCGTTTTCACATCCACTTCATGGGAAGAGTTAAGATAGTCCTGCCATTACCAACTGTGAGAAGACAGCTGGGGAGGGCTCTTCTCCTCCCCTCTACCCAAGGGAATTATGGGTGATTATGTCTGAACCTCAGAAAATATAGTTCCGTGTTAGCAATTTGGGCACGTTCTGAGAGATTTGCCATTAGGCAATTTCATTGCTGTACAAACAGCAGAGGGTGTATTTACACACACCCAGATGGAGTGGCCTACTCTTCTCTAGGCTGTGGTGTGGTCTGGGAGCAACAGGCATGTTACTGAATTGCGTGTTTACTGACAGGCAGGTAACTGTAATACAATGGCAAGTATTTGTGTAGTTGAAAATGGAAGCAGCACAGGAAAAATACTAGGTTGCAGGTTGGTTGGTTGGTTTGACAAGGACTCAGTCTGGCTTTGAACTCATTCTGTACCTGAGGATGACCTTGAACTTCTGATCCTTCTGCCTCTAGCTCTCTGGTGCTGGGATTACAGATATGTGCTACTTGGTTTCTGCCATACTGGGGCATAAGCCGCGGCTTTATGCATGAGAGACAAGCACTACAATTGAGCCATATACCCAGCCTCAGGGGGTGACTTTTTTATCTCATATAATCACGTCCCATCCATAGTGTATGCTTTATATCGTCGACCAAAGCACCTGTACCAGTTAACACCTGGCAGCCTGGTGTGGTGTTGTCTGTTGTTTTCGTTTCATATAATTGTGTACCACCATAGTGTATGCTTTATATTGTTGATCAACGCACCATTAGGTGACACCTGACTGACCTCCAATTAACACCTGGCAGCCTGGTGTGACGTTGCCTGTTGCTGCTGGTAACCCCAGTTTCTTGGGAGGCTGAGGCAGAAAGATTGCGAGTGTGAGGCCGGCCTGAGAAGCTTAGTGAGACCCTATTTCAACATCATAATTGTTTTTGGAAATTTGTTTTATGTCTATGAAAGTTTTGTCTGCATACATGTGTGTGCACTGCATGCAGCCTGGTACCAGCGGAGGTTAGGTGGTGTTGGAGCTTCTGAAATTGGAGTTCTGAGGGTTGTGAGTCACCATGTGGGTTCTGGTCATTGAATCCGGGTCCTCTGCAAGGGCCACACGTGTTCTTAAACATGAATCCATCTCTTCAGTCCCTCAAACTCAAGTTTAAAAAGGAGCTGCAGGTGTAATTCAGTGGCAGAGAGATTGTCTTGAATGTATGAGGATTTGGGCTCCCCCCAGTACTACAAAACAAACATTTCAAAAGATTCGGGATCTGGATGTCCTTGGTGGGCATGGCAACCTCTCACCCTGTTGACAGGTGTGATCCTGCTGTGGCTGGACAGACTTCGGCAAACTGGTTGGGAGCAGATGTGGACCTTGACGGCCAAACGGGAGCTCCTTACTCTGATGGCCACGTCTCTGGCTGACCAGGTCTGGAGGACTCTTTGTGGGAACAGAACTGAGGGGCAGGCTGGAGGCTGAGATGTGATGTCTGTCACTGCTTAGGACGTTTTCAATGCTGTCATCAAGGAGCATCCCGAGCTGGTGCATCCCCTGCCCTGTGTCTGGAATGTGCAGCTGTCAGACCACACACTGGCTGAGCGCTGCTACTTGGAGGCAGCCGACCTCAAGGTGAGTGGAGACTGCAGGATAGGGGACTGTGGCTCACTCCCTGGTCTAAATCCCCGCTGACACCTCCCGGAGCCCAGGTGATCCACTGGAATTCACCAAAGAAGCTTCGAGTGAAGAACAAGCATGCAGAATTCTTCCGAAACCTGCACTTGACCTTCCTGGGGTATGATGGGAAACTGCTGCGGCGAGAGCTCTTTGGATGCCCCAACCAGCTCCCTCCTGGGGCTGAGCAGGTAAGAGGGGCCACACTACCTTGCCTTTGGGAGGTTTTGCCGCTCTGGACTCAGGTGGGCCTTGGCTGGAGGGCACGTTGTCCTGGGCCAGCCCCCTTCTTTCTTTCCCTGGACCCTGCTCAGTTGCAACAGGCCCTGGCACAGCTGGATGAGGAAGAGCCCTGCTTTGAATTCCGGCAACAGCAGCTCACTGTACATCGTGTGCATATCACCTTCCTGCCCCACCAGCCGCCACCTCCCCGGCCTCATGATGTCACCTTGGTGGCCCAGCTCTCTATGGACCGGTGAGGGTGTGGAGGGCAGCCCCGGGTAGCATGGTATAGGCTGAGATGGGATTTGAGAGAACTATTTTATCTGGTAGCCTGATGGTGTGGTAGTGAGCTGCTGGTCCCTGGAAGAGTCTCAGAAGTTGGAGACATTGGATATGATGGGAAAAGCTTGGGCTTTGGAAGTCTTTCTGTTGCCTAGAACTGCCCCTGGGGTGCTGGGGGACCATGAATAAGCCTCAGTTTGCTGGTCCGTCAAATGTGGGTGCAACCCCAGGGGGTAGTTGTAAGGATGAAAAGAGACCAGCTCTGTGTGATTGTAAGGTGCTTAGTCACGGGATGGGGCTCTGCAGCCGCTAACTTTGGGGAGGATTTCTAGCCATCCTGGGCTTCTGTGCACCAGGGACCCAAGCAGGGCTGACCACCCACCTCACCCCAGGCTGCAGATGCTGGAAGCCCTGTGCAGGCACTGGTCAGGCCCCATGAGCCTGGCCTTGTACCTGACAGATGCAGAGGCTCAGCAGTTCCTGCATTTCGTGGAAACTTCGCCAGTGCTCTCTGCGAGGAAGGATGTAGCCTACCATATAGTGTACCGGGACGGTCCCCTCTATCCAGTCAACCAGCTCCGCAATGTGGCCTTGGCCCAGGCTCTCACGCCCTACGTCTTCCTCAGTGACATCGACTTCTTACCTGCCTACTCCCTCTATGACTACCTCAGGTGGGCCTGGAGGGCAGGAGAGGGGCAGCATTTGGGGTATACACCGTCGGGGTCAGGGTATCTTGGGAACCCCAGGTTGCTGTGTCCGTTTCTTTCTGGGGCTCAATGGCTTCTGCAAAACAGGGCTTGTCTTAGGCTATTTCTTTGGGCCACCACTGAGTCAGGGAAGCAATGCCTTACTTCAAACAGCAGTTCTGTGTGGCAAGGCTATCTGAAACAGCCGGACTGGCTACCTGGAAGGCCTCAGTGGGTGGCTGTGGCTCAGCAGGGGTGAGCCCCATGGGCTGAGTACTCCTCGCATGCCCCTCCCCAGGGCCTCTATCGAGCAGCTGGAGCTGGGCAGTCGGCGGAAGGCTGCTTTGGTGGTGCCTGCGTTTGAGACCCTGCACTACCGCTTCAGCTTCCCTAACTCCAAGGCAGAGCTGTTGACCTTACTGGATGCAGGCTCTCTCCACATCTTTAGGTAAGAGAGACCATGTTCTGCCCCATTGATTCCATGCTGCCCCTCCCCACCCCCCTTGAGCTCACAAACTCCTAGTCTCAGCCCTGTTCCCACCTGATCCTGTTATGCAGGTACCATGAATGGCCACAGGGTCATGCGCCCACCGATTATGCCCACTGGAGGGAGGCCCAGGCACCATACCATGTGCAATGGGCAGCTGACTATGAGCCCTATGTGGTGGTGCCCCGTGACTGTCCCCGATACGATCCTCGCTTTGTGGGCTTTGGCTGGAACAAGGTGGCCCACATCATAGAGCTGGATGCTCAGGTGAGGAGGGTACCTTGTTGCCCCCTGGCTGTGCTCTGCCCCTTCCTGGTGGGCCATGGCACAAGCTTGCACTTCAGCCCTCACTTGCTCCTCCCTAGTTCAGCCCTGGCTTCTGTTCTCATTCTTATAGGAATATGAACTCCTGGTGCTGCCCGAGGCCTTCTCCATCCACTTGCCCCATGCTCCAAGTCTGGACATCTCCCGCTTCCGCTCCAGCCCCACCTATCGGGACTGTCTCCAGGCCCTCAAGGAGGAGTTCCACCAGGACTTATCACGGCACTATGGGGCTGCAGCCCTGAAATACCTCACTGCCCTGCAGCAGTCCCAAAGCCGGGCCTGAGCTTGCCAAGCTGCCCCTGGCCAAGGCTCTCTCACACACACACACTCCCGGAAGACACTGGAGAACCCTGGTGGGTGCCCACCCTTACTGCTATTTAAATTATTTAAGGTTTTTGTCAGAGGGGCTGGGGTGGAGCATCTGCGGGGTTCCTGGCTGGTTTCCCTGTTGGGGTCCAGCCCTTCTTTGCCCCAGCTGGTTTGGGGCTAGTTCCCCCAATCCCCTTTCATAATAAAAAAATTTTAAATTGGGGTTTTTCATTTTATATGTGAGTATTTTGCCTGTATATATGTATGTATGTGCAAGAGGGCTTTAGACCCCTGGAACTGGAGTTATAGGTAGCTGTGAGCCACCATGTAAGTGCTGGGAACCAAACCCAGGTCTTAAGCCCTGGGCCATTTCTCTCACCCCACAGAAAAGTTTTTTTTTTTTTTTTTTTTTTTTTTTTAAGATTTATTTATTTATTATGTATACAGTATTCTGTCTGCATGTATACCTGCAGGCCAGAAGAGGGTGCCAGATCTCATTACAGATGGTTGTGAGCCACCATGTGGTTGCTGGGAATTGAACTCAGGACCTCTGGAAGAACAGTCAGTGTTCTTAACCGCTGAGCCATCTCTCCAGCCCCCAGAAAAGTTTTAAAAACCACTTTTTGTACTCTGGCTGGGGAATCAAGGACTCTTAGGGTCTGAGGGCGTCAGTGGGCAGTAGGAGTAGATTCCAGTAGAGTCCCGGGACAGTCTGAACCCTCAAGGGCCACAAACCAGAGATGGAGTATCTCACCCACACTTTCCCACCCTAGCCCCAAACGCAACACCAAGAGGCTGAGAGGCTTTATTTGGCTTTATTTAGTAAAATGTTAAAATAAATAAATACAAATTGATCGGCTGCTCTGTACCCCCCCACCCCCTCCAAACAAAAACCAAACAAACAAAACAGAAAGTTTGAAGCACAAAACTCCAAATACAAATTCTACCAAGACTGAAATCACAAAGGGCATGGACACAGACAGGACTGGGTCTGGCTGGCTCTTACCTATGAGCTTCTGGTCTGCTCAGCCCACCCACCCGACTGCCACTCACCCTGGGCTAAGAGCGAGGACACTGGAGAGGGGTGCAGGGGCCAAGGCTGCCATGTGGAACTGCTAAAGAGTGCCACCCTGGCTCTCAGGACTCTTCATTCCTGGGGGAGGACCAGCGGAATCTTCCCGGTGGGTCACCCATCTCCTTGGGGAGGAGCTGACAGGAGCATAGACTGAAGGCAGGATGAGAAACGAGACTCCCGTTTTCTGCCAAGGGTGCTCGGATGAGGGGCGGGACAAGGTCCACAGTCATTTACACAGAGCAAAGTAGCCTGCATTCAACAGAAGCCATGGGCTCTGGAGAAGCCAGTGTCCGGAAAAGGGCCACCGGTCCCTCCTACTCCTGCCCCTGGGAGGAGTGTCCTCAAGAGTTCAGCCCTTTAGTTAGGTAAGGTCCATATCCAAGAAGGACCTAATGGGAAGAGACCACTTGAAGTGTGAGCCGGGGTGGTGGTGGTGGTGGTGAGTCAAGAAGGCTCCAGAAGCCCCAAGAGGAAGCATCAAGAGGTGGTGGAGAGGCAGCTGAACATGCAGACAGACAGCTGGAAACCCTGGGTCAGTGCTGGGTACACATGGACCCTGAGCATTGCCTGTTGGGCTTCAGACAGGAAGCAGCAGCAGCAGCAGCAGCAGCAGCAGGAGAGGGAGCCCTAGAGGATATCAATCACCAAGATGGGGGCCAGCTGGAGGCTGCCTGGTGGCTGTCACTGGCTCCAGAGACAGGCCCCACACAGGTAGTGCCATCCAGGGACTGTCGCTAGCTGAGTCCTCCCTGAAGGGTGCCGTCAGCAGGCAGATAAGGAAGGAAGAGATGAGAACTGGTGGAGTCAGCAGAGGCAGGCAAGACTGTGGGTTCAGAGAGAGAAAGGCCCCTTCAAGTGAGAAACGAGAGGATGGTGCTGGCCTCCCTGCCTTTACAGCCTGGTCTGGGGGCCCAGGGGACTCCCAGTCCAAGGCCCTCCAAAGCAACTGCCGAGTCAGTGGGCCTCCCACATGTGGCTGCAAGAGCAATAGACTGCGGGGGGGGGGGGGGGGGGGGGGGGGGGAGGGAGGGAAGACGGAGGGGTGGGGGCAGCTCAGGAGGAGCAGCTTGTGTGTCCCACGCGGTCACAGGTACTCACAGGGCTAAGGGGACAAGGAGCTCTGTGCTGACAGAGTGAAGGGCATGTAGATGGAGGAACAGGGCCCACAGTGGAGGCCTGGAGCAGGGCTCCATTTTTTTACTCCGCTCCAGTCGACTCAAACAGCTCATTTCCAAACATCAGAAGAAGGGACTCTATGCTGCTCAGCTCCTGCATGGTCACCAGCAAGCAGCTCTTCTGGGGCAAAGGCCTGTAGTGATTGGTTTCTCAACCTCTTTCCATCACAGGGGCAGGTAGGCACTGTGTGCCAAGCCCTGGCCTATGGGCCCAGACAAGTCCAACAGGGGGTTGGGAGGTTGAGGAGCCAAGACGGGGCATCGGCCTGCTGCTGGTCTCTGGTCCTCTGCCAAAGATTCCTCCGACTAGTCCAGGCTTCTCCAAAGCTCACGAACTAGACTTAGCACCTTGGTCTCTGAAGAAGAAAAGAAGGTTCTTTCCTGCCCCCCTCAGTCAACCTGAAGTCAGAGGCCTGCATGGCCAAACTACATGCCCTCTTCTCAAATGCTTGGGAGAGGATTGGACGGCTGGTGTGGACGGGCCTTGCTCACTCTCAGAAGCACCCTTCCCTGCTGTAGGTACTGTCAGGTTCCAGCTCTTTCTCCCTGGACCTAACTGGGCAAGGAAGAAGCAAAAGGGCCTTTCCTGCTATTTCTAGACCTGGGGGCCTGGATGGCTCCAGAGAGATGCTGATGTGGACCTGACGGCAGAGCCTAGGTCTCTGTCCCTCCACTCAAGGCCATGCAATGGCCAAAGGTTTCCAGTGGGAGCATGCATCTCATAGTGACTTTCCCCATGGTACTGTAGGGGAGATGGCTAGAGAGCCTTTTAGAACCCCAGTTTTCCAAGAAGAAAAGGCCACAACAGGCCAAGCAAGGCAAGCATAGTGGATTCTAGCCCAGGGACACCCAAGAAGCGTGTGGGTGGGTGGAATGGGAGTGAATTCTGACCCTGGTGCCAGGAGGCAGAGGACAGCTGGAGCTTCAGCCCTCTCTCTTCAGTGCAAGATGGACTTGAAGGTCACCTGGGCTCTCAGAGACATAGGGACCCTCAAGGACTCTCCTTCCTTAGTTCTGATGCAGCCAGCCTGCACCCCACCCCACCCCCAGAGGCCAAGTGTACAGGCAGTGAGGCGCCTCACTGGTCACTCCCCCCAGGTGCCCCCGAGGCATACATAACGCTGGTGGCTGAGAGACTGAGAACAGCACCAAAGGAAGGTCTTAGGTGGGCACAAGCCTGCACTCCAGCAAGGTCTGAGACCGTGGGGAGACCCCACCATGCACACTCCATTTTGGCTTAAAACACAGGAGATGCGATCCCTGTACCAAAAAGACAGCACAGTCTGAGGAGGGAGGAGGTGGGAGGACCTGCCATTCTGAACATTGGCCCACCAGTCTAGAGGCACAAACACAGCAAAATGTCATCGTGATCAGCAGGTTCTGTGCTAAAAAATTATAACTACACGGCATTTTCTCCAGTTCTGACACCTTTTTAATATAAATCACCGTTTTTTAGGAAACAAATAGCACTTTTGTAAATTTTTTTTTTACAATGTTTCTTACCTTGATCTTAATTTAAGTAACACTAGGAAGACCTCAATATCTTTTATTTTATTTTCCTTTTTAATTAAAAAAAGAAAGTTGCTGTTGTTTTCCCCAGGTACAAAGATTTTTTTGCCCTTGCATTAAAAAAACAAAACAAAACAAAACAAAAAAACACCAAAAAACAAAACAAACAAAAACCAATAGTGCCCAAATGATGACACAGGACGCACAAAGACTCACTGACCTCACTGACACTATAACGCCTAGTCTACCATGCAAGGTCTCACTACCCTTAACAGGACCGTCAGCCTGAAAACAGCTTTTCTATTCCTTAGTTTAGTTCTTGTTACAAAAAAACAAAACAAAACAAAACAAAAAAACAAAAACAAAAAAGGTAAAATAAACAATGAAATAAAACTTTGTTTAAACAAGAACAGAAATAAAAAATAAACTTGAAGAAGAGAAAAGGGTCGTCTCCATTCACACACACGTGATCGTGCCACACCTGGGTCATGCTGCTCTGCTCAGAACCTTCTCTTCTTATAAATATAGAAAAAGGATGGAGCTTGTTTTCAAGTAAAACCTGTGATCCGCCTTTCTCCCTCCTGGACCACGCATACCTTCCCTTCCCTGCTTCCCAGCCTGGGGACCACCTGGGGCTGTGCACTACCCAAGCAGAGGGAAGGCAGGGCTGCTGGAGGCCGTGGGAGAGCGGAGCTGGGGAGGGGACCTGGGCTCTCCCGGCACTAGCCCCCTCCAGGAACATTAAATACTGCTTATGTCATATACTTTCCCACCCTGGCTCCCCCCCAGCCTTCCTGGCCCTCCTCTGGGCACTGGATTAGTTAAACCTCTATTTCCTTTTTTTTTTTCTTTTTTTTCTTTTTTTTTTTTGGTTTTATGGTAGTGAAAGTTTAGGAACAGGAAAGCCCACACACTCTTTGGACTTGTCTTTTCTACCTAAACAAACGGCTCCCAGTAAGGATCTGAAACCTGCTCTCCTCCCTCCGCCCGTCCCTGCTCCCCACCCAACAGAACAAAAACAAACCCACCGTGGCTGTGGAGGCTGCTGCAGGCACACACTGGTGTATAATAGAGAGAGTAAATATATTATTTCACTTGGCATGGTGCTGGCAAAGAACCTCCAGCTGGCACTATTTCATGTAACATGGTCCAATCTTTGCATGTACACACAGAACAAGAAGAATCAATTGGCAAACTCGGTGCCACTGGCACAAGCATCTTTTCTCTCTCTGGAACCAAAGAACCAAAAGAATTCTGTACTTTCCAGAAGAAATCCGGCTTTGCTTCTCTAGAGTCTCCTCGCCACTGGGCTGTGGCATCTCCTCGAGGGAGGGCTCTGTTATTTAGTCTCTTCCCCCTGGTTACAGTTCGCTGTGCAGCTCTGCGAGGAGGGGGAGGGGGCAGGGGTGGAGGCGGCGTTGGTAGGGGGGGTGCAGTCTGGGCCATTGGAGAGGGCCCCCACAGTGGCCTCAGAGTCTACAGGTTTAGAGAGGTCGATGCCATGGATGAGGCGGATGAGTTGTTTCACCTTGTCCAGGGAGCTGCGCATCTCCTTCTGTCGTGCCAAGATGGTATTCTTCATCTCCATACATTTCTGCAGCAAGTCACAAGATGAACACTCAGCCTCCGGGCCCAGCAGCCCCAGGGGAAAATGCCCCCATAAACCAGTCCCTGTGCACAGCTGTGCTGCTCCACCTGGTAGGGGCAGACACTAGCAAAGGAGGAAGACGCGAAAGGCGGGGCCGGTGGACAGGGTGAAAGCCAACTCTATCTATCGGATATGAGCACTTATGATGATGCTATGATGTTACAGTCACCAAAAGAGTCGCCCTGGAGCTAGCTTCTGCCGTGGTGACAGGGATTAAAAAGCCAGTGAGAGATGCAGGGAATTTGACTGGAGGGTCTGTGGAGGACCACTTACTCACTCATATTTTAGAGGTGAGGGCCTGGGTGGACCAGTAATGTTTAGGAGACCTGAGGTCAAGGACAAAGGACTCCAGCCAGTGAACCAGGCCCTCTAGGTCGGTTACCAGCTGGTGGTCCTTCTCTTAGTCCAGTAAATGAGGTCTCTATAAGAGTCACTCAAGCGGGCCTGGGTCTGCCCAGGGTCAGGAGAGGCTCTAGGCTCCTCCCAAGCACACAAAACTGCACAGGCACTGGGTGGTGCTACTCAATCTCTGCCCCTAGAGACTGAAAACCCTCTCAGACAGCAGCCACAAGGACACTCCGAGCTTGGGCAAGTATCTACCACGTGTCCCATGGCCATGGCTCCTGAGCACCGCACACTAATAACTCCGAAGGCAGACTTCGGCTGCCCCAGCTGCTCACGTCCACACCCAGGACGTCCACACCCAGGAATGGAGCCCACCCGTGTCCAGCGCTGAGAAGGGAAGGTGCTTACACTTATGGAACTGCTGAGCTCCTTCACCTTCTGCTCCAGTTGCTCTCGCTCCTGTTTCAAGTCTGAACTCCACTTCAGTAGCTTCTGCTTCTCCTCTTCTTTTGCTGGGGAGAAAGGAAGTTTTAAGTGATCGATTCTTTGCAAAGCTTTCCTGGGTCAGGAAGTTCACCAAAGACAGCCGCCTAAAGTGCCCTCAGCCACACAGCCAGGACACAGCACCTGACCACCTGGACTTTCCTTCTTCTGGTGTGCTGGCCTTGGGGGCTTGGGCCAGGCTTTACATGGGTAAGGTGCTACCCTTCACAGCTCCCATCTCAAAAGGTGGTCCACACACTTTCAACTCCATTCAATAACGCATTCTCATTTTCCTTTGAAAACAAAATCAACTTCACCTTCTAGTGGCATTTTCTTCTGAAAAGGCGGACCTTACCTGCTTTGTAGGCAATATAGGAATGAACAATGGCTAAAGTTCCAGGCCATGGAATTGCTTCTTCCTTCTTCAGCATCTGAAAAGAATTTAGAATTCTATCTTGAGAACCAAGGTCACAGCAAACACCAGCGTCTGTGGCTGAAGATCTAGGGAGGCTTGTGGCCGCATCACCCAAAATCAGACTACAGATAGAGGTAGAGACTTGGAAGCATCCCTGTATCTTCAGAAAAGCCACATGAGGGGCTGGAGATATGGCTAAGTGGTTAAGAGCACTAGCTATTCTTCCAGATGTACAGGGTTCAAAACCCAGCACCCACATGGCAGCACCCACATGGAGTCTATAACTCCAGTCCCAGGACATCTGACACCCTCTTTTAGGCTCAGAGGGCCTAGAGCACTAGGCATATTACAAGGTACACAGATATACAGAAGCACATAAAACAAATACGTAAAAACATAAAAAAAATGTCACATGAGCTGGGCATGGTGGAGCACACCTTAAATCTCAGCACTTGGGGAGGCAGATGCAGGTGGATCTTTGTGAGTTTGAGGCCAGCCTGGTCTACAGAGAGTTCCAGGTCAGCCAGGGTTACACAGTAATCCTGTCTCAGAACAAAGGCAAAAATGAAAACATCCATTCAATCAAGCAAACAATAGCCATCTAACTCCAACCACTTTCTACAGCTAGAACCAGCGTACAAAGCTAGACCCTAGCATGGTGGTAGTCACCTCAGGCAATCTTGCCTATGATTTGACACAGGCTGCCTGTTTCAAATGCAGTGTTGTTATCTCCCTCAAAAACTCCAAGGAAGTTAAATACAGTTGTAAATCTATAATCTAGCCCCTGTGTAGGCCACCGTCAGGAAGGCCACATGAGAGGAAAGCAGGCGAAGGGCTCCCAGACTACACCAGAGGCAGGCGACCGGATGAGGACCAAGACAGGTGTGGTCATAGCTGTAGGCCAGCACTTAGGAAGCCAAGGCAGGAGACCCAAGTTTAATGGCAGCCTGGGCTCCGGAGAGACCCTGTCTCGATACACTGTGGACTTAAGATGAAGCTCAACAGTGGGGAGCCTAAGCAGCATTCACGAGGCCCTGGATTTGGGTCCTGGTGTTACAAAAGGAAAAAAAAAAAAAGAGGGAAATTTAAAAAATGGTCTCAAATCATGCTTTATTGATTTATTTTATTTTAGTGTTTTTGATACAGTATTTCACTTTGTTGCCCTGGCTTGACTGGAACTCATCATGTACACCAGACTGGCCTCAAACTCAGGGATCCACCAGTCTCAGCTTCCTGATTGCTGGGACTTAAGGTGTGCACAACCAGACCGGCCCAGGAGGAGCTTTTATGTATCTTAACTTATTTTTTCTTTTGTTTTCTTTTTTTTGTGGTGGTCTCACTATGTAGCTCAGGCTGGCCTTGAACTTGTCAAGCTCTTGGCTCAGCTCTTCAAGTGCTAGGATTAGAGGCATGTGCCAGTATGAGGGACCGAGGGTCTGCACTTCAAAAGGGAAAATGAGTCAGTCATTCCTCATAGAAGGTAGTGACACTGCCTGCATGCTGTGCCTGCATGCTGTGCCTGCATGCTGTGCCAGGAGGATGGGGCCTATAGAACAATGACCAGAAAAGCTTGTTCCCCAGAATGAGAGAGAAAGGAATTTCCAAGGCATTGTCTTTCTTTTCCTAGGTCCCTCATCCATGTGGCCCACCCCCAGTACCTGGTCCTGACATCTGGGGCAGATCCACATGCCCTTGGGAATTGTTTTCAGAGGAGGGTCTAAGCAATCCAGATGATACACACGCGAACAGGTGTCACACATCAGCAACTGGCCACTCTTTCTGCAAACACTGCAAAAATCCTCGTGGATATCACCCTATGAGCCGGAGAGGAAAGGTAAGAAAGACAAGGAAGAAGGTAAGCACACAACGTTACCTTGTACACCGTGACTACACTAAGTGTTTTCAACAGACAGAGAGCTGGCGGCCCAGAGATGGCCCTCCAACACGCTAGTGTTAGGAAAGGAGTCGCCGATAGCACAAACTTCCAACTGCTCACAAATCTCAGTTTCTGGGGTGGCAATTTAACTTGAAATTTAAACATGAAGGACTTTCTTTAAACTTACAAATTTAGATTGAGAATTTAACCTTATAAATTGGAGTTTACAGCAAAGATCTTCAGTTGCTTGGACCAAAATCAATGGCTTAGGTAACAGGTTGGCACTTCCAATGCCAAGAATCTAACTCACAGACCAGAGATCCACACTATGAGAGGAGCAGCATTTATTATCTATTATTTGAGGGAATTTGAGAAGAATTTGGAAACATAGGCACAAAATAAACTGAGCATCTTGCTTACTTGGGGAAAGTATAGTGAATATTCAAAAGTGAAAGGCCCAAGCCGGGAGCAGAGAACTTATCGAAGCTTCTAACATGTGGAACTGGAGGAGCCACAGTAGCAGCTGATGATGCTCTGTAGAACCAGCATTTGGCATTTGCTGCTCAACAGACCATCATCCAGCAGGAGGCTTTATTCTTCTCCATAAAATATTTCACTAGATGAAAAAAGAGAGGCAGCCCCAGTCCACTCTACCACCCCCTTTGTGATAGTTCCAGGGCTCAGGTGCTTCTGGAGCCCTCAGAACAGAACACACCATCAAAACACAACAACACAGATCTATTTAAAATCCAGAGGAAAGAACACAGGGAAAACAAAACAAGAGCTTTTAAAGAGGTGTGGTTCACCAAGTCAATGTGCAACTTGTCTGGATGCGAATCAACACATGGATGAGGACGACAGGGAAGGGAAAACCAGGGCACAAGCTGGAGGACATAACACATCAGTGCTAGCACACTGCTTTAAGATGTCTGCGGTATTCTGCTAGAAAGCCTACCACAGAACTGCAGAGTAAGCAGCAAGACAGGAAGTGATGCCCAGGCCCTCCTCCACCACCACACCACTGAGGGAATGCATCTTCCAGTTATACAGTTTCTCTCTGCAGGAAACTCCCTTTGTGTGTATGTGTGCATGTACACTTATACATGTATCTCTCCAGCCCCATCTTTCAAATTTCATATTTACATACACTACAGCAGTATCTAGTGTTTGAGTGGTAGAATTTCTTTCTTTTTTTATAATTTATTTTTATTTTAATGTGCACTGGTGTTTTGCCTACATGTATGTCTTTGTGAGGTTGTTGGACCCCCTGGAATTGGAATTACAGACAGCTGTGAGCTGTCATGTGGGTGCTGGGAAATGAACCCAGGTCCTCTGGAAGAGCAGCCATCTCTCCAGCCCAAGTATTGGGATTTTTTATGTACTGCAAATCATTGAGGACTTCTGAGTTAATTATAGAATCTCAGAAGTTCTAGCAACAGTACACCGAAACAGAACAACTCCAGAACACAAGTGAGCAGTAAACAGCCATGACAGCACATGGGATGCTGTATCTGGAAATCCCTTGTCTAGTCCTGAGAAAGAAGGTTGAAATGGTGCCTGACGCATTAGTATTATCTTGTAAATAATTTTCGTTTATGTACCCCTGAAAAGTGCCAGTGACTCCAGACCATATTTTGAGAACTGCCCTAGCCTAACAGTTTAAATAAAAAATTCCAAGAATGTCAGAATGAATATAAAATACAGAGACAATTCATCCATCAAGGTCAGTCTTTGCCTAAAAAGTGGAGATCAAAAGGCTTAACTCTGGTGACAGGTCATAAGCAAATGGTAAGCTGAAATGTGCCTGATCATGACATTGCTGGGAACATGCTGCCTCTACCAACTCCAGCTTTACTGTGTGCTAAAAATGTATAATTAGTCAACATATCTTCCCTTCCCATAAAAATGACAGCAGCAACAAGGTCCATCCTGAGGACTAGTGTCTGGCTGCGTCTTGTATTACCAGGTCCTTCTAGATAGTTATTGATCCCCAGGAAATGCTTGGCTCTCAACTGTTACTGTTTAATTAATGTCGAGGCTTATGCTACCCAGCAGCAAACACACAGAACTCTGTGTGTTGATTTTAATCACGGCTGTTGTTGGGATACTGTAAAAGTAGAAGTCAATTATCTTTAGAAAAAAAAATGTATCCCATTGGGTTTAACTTAGGAAATTCTGAACATTTTTAGTGATTTCAGAAAAGCGTTATTTTGCCTTTAGATTTCTGCAAAGAACTATTTTTGTGTTTTAAGATGAAATCTAGCAAAAGTTTTCAGTTTGTGATTTGACCAGAGTGGATCCTTTAGGTCTAGTCTGTAAAAGAAAAGCATAAACTCAACCAAAGAACCCAGACCAAGACAAGAGGGTATAAGAAACTCGAAGGCAGAGGTTCAAAGCCCCCTCCCCCAGCACTGTGCATCAATGCACAGGGAGTCAGTGACTGCTGACTTCTTTGATTGGGGAAAAACTGGAACAGGCTTTGGTACCAGCAAACATGGCTTCTGACAGGGTCTCCTGGTGCACATCAGCCTGAAGTTAGAAACCCTGCATCGGTGACCAGGGCCAAAGGAAGGACAGATGGAACGCCAAGTCTTTAGAACCAGGAAGAGTCTGTACCTACAGCAACAGCAGGAATGGAACCTGCTAGAAATAGACCTCTCCTATGACCCCAGTTATCCAAAGATAATACTTTGTTCGCTGTCTCCCAAATTCTAACTCAGGGCTTCAGGTAGCATTTTCGTGGAGTGGGGAGTGCCATTAGTAAGTCATGAAAACCTTCAACTCAAGGAACATTGCACCGGAAGATGGCTAACAAGAAGCTCTGCAATTCCTAAGGGCTGAGGGCACGGACAAAGACATTCCTGTTTGGTTGCTCCAGCCTGCTCCTCTTGTCATCGTCAGTCAAGGGCAGGATCAGCCTGCTGCTTGTTTGGGCCAGGAACTTCATAGCTATCCTTGACAATTCTCTCTCCTCATTACACTCCATCAGGACCAGTCAGGTGTCATCTCTTGCCTAGAACACCACAGCAGCCTCCTTATTGGTCTCCCTGCTTCATTCCATCCTTCCCAAGGTCCCTCTCTCCCCAGTGCTCCTTTCAAAATCCAGCTGGTTCTATAAGCATCAGGAGCCACCCAAGGAGGCTGAAGTCTTTGGTTATCAGTCTGTTAGGAAACTAGACTTACTATCCACATGCTCTCAAAGCTGTCTCCCGCCAGAGGGAAAACAGACTTTTACAAGCAAAAAAACTCAATGGAAATTATCTCAAGAGATGAAAGTTAACACCACCACCAACAGGCTGATGTCACATGCCTCCTGCTGCAATACACAGAGAAGAACCTGTCATTCCTGATTCTAGGTGCTTCCGTCTATTTCTGGACACAACCCAGTGGGGCAACCATCAAACTGAAAAAGATGCCACCGTTAGGAAAGACACAGATGGACTGAGGGCCTGGCGAGACAGCTCAGTGGATAAATGCACATGTCACCAAGCCTGAGTTCAATTCCGGGGACCACAAAGTGGAAGGAGAGGACTGACTCTCAAAAGCGGTTCTCTGACCTCCAGACATATGCCGTGGCATAGGTGTATACACAAAGACACAGATACACATACTCTAAATGAATAAATTGTAATTAAAAAAAAGATGGCCTAAGAAACTCTTTCAGAATAAAGGAGAGTAAAGAGATTCAACAGGATAACAAACACCAAGAGTGACCTTGGACAAAGGCAATTACTGGGACAAGTAGAAAAACTGGAATATGCACTGAGTAGTACACAACCAATGTTAAATTCCCATAATTTCATTACCACATGGTGGCTATACACCAGAACACTGTCATTCTTAGAAGTGAAAAATTTTAATTGCCTCAGAAAAAAGTGTGCATACATGCACGTTTGCACATGTATGTGGGTGCAAGCATGTAAAGGAAGACACAAACATAGCAAGTTAATTGATAAATCAGAGCAAATGGTGCCACTGTCCACTACACCACTGCTGCAACCTTCCCCAGGTCTGAGAATCTTTGGGAACATCTGTAGACGGAGATTATGTCCCAGCACCGGTGGTCTCCTGTTGTACTTAGAGCCCTGTGTGAGCAGGCCTGTCACCTCTCCGGTCCCTTCTCCCTCTGCATGGATGATGCATGCCTTCACCGTCCTGCCACTGCACCTTGTCCCTTCCATTTCTCCTCCTGGTGCTCATCTCTGCCTGACGGGTTACATAGTTGTCCCTTTGTTGTCCACCTCTTCCTACAGAACACAAGCCCTGAGTGCTTGCACACTGCTTGGTTGTTCCTTGCTGCACCCCAGCCTCATGAACAGCATTCGCTCAGCAGAACAGTGTTCAGTGAGGATCTGCTGAGGGAACTTGTTGCTTTGTAAGTGCAGGAACCTGCTTCTGACCAGCTCCAAACAGAAAATGTCACACTTCTAGAGGTGTGCCTAACACAGCAGCAGGGCTACTAGACACTTCTGCTCTACTCACGCTCTATCTCCAACACTCCAATGACAGAGACCGCTCAAATGTGTAAGTCCACGTCCCCACCCTCCTCTGAGAGCTCATGCAGAGCTGATCAAATCAGACTCTGAAACCCTGGGCTCCCTGGATTTATGTGAACATGACTCTCTAGGACAGAAAGAGCTGAGACCCCAGAAGACAGCTGCCTGGCATGGTAAGCAGGCATTCTGCAGGGTCTGCTGCTGTTCTCGGGCTATGGAGGAAGGGTCCATCTGGTGAGGAGACAACACAGGACAATGGCTTTCCCAGGTGAGCTCTCGGAGAGAGTGCATGCCCCCCAGTTACTTACGTCTGTGGAGGTGGGGCTGGGCAGGGACACAGGCTGCACAGGTGCAGGGAAAGTGAATGTGGTCTCTGTCTTTTCATTTTCAGGGGAGTCGGGATGACTGGATGGGGGGGATGTTGGGGTAAGGGCTCCAAACCCCAGCACTGCATTGTATTTTGGAGGACGACCTATATACCAAGAGAAGGGAACAAAAGGGGAAAAGGGGTAGGGAAAGACAGGGGAAAATGGTCTTACATACCTTTGGCCAGTGTTCCTCATTGGCTAGCATGGAAAAGGAAGTGAGGTAGCAGACAGAAGGTTAATACACAGGCCAGAGGAAAGAAAAGAAGCAAAGATTTCAATGCCATTAGAAACAACTACATGAATTCTAAAAGAAGGGAGGAGAAGGGAGCCTTGGAGAGTAGTAAAAGGTGCTAGCATTTGTAAAAAGACCCCATCTCCGCAGATCATGATCATTCCTGGACTCCCACAATCTGAGGTTTCTAATAGGAGGACCCAGGGGTCATGAAGGAGCCTAAAGCCAGAACAGAGTTTCTTTCCTGTGTTTTGTGCATTAGTCACTAAGGTTTTTTTCTGCAGCCATCTCCTAATGACCCTCTGTTTTTATGAATGGATTTATTCAGCATTTCTGCTTTTCCATGTCTCTCTTGTCAACAGTTTAGACCTTTTACTGCTGGTAAGAGTGGAGGAAGGCAGTGTGAGGAGGCAGAGTTCCAGTCAACTACTCTGGGAGGGAGTTTCTGGAAGAGCTGGGGTGTGAGAGTGTAACGGTGAGGGCACAGGCTTCCAGCCTCGGTAGCTGTGTGCTGCTCTAAGAGTGTAAGGGTGAAGGCACAGGCTTCCAGCCTCGGTAGCTGTGTGGTGCTCTAAGAGTGTAACAGTGAAGGCACAGGCTTCCAGCCTCGGTAGCTGTGTGCTGCTCTAAGAGCTGCCCCACTGCTTCGCTCCACCAATAGGCATGGACTGCATGCTAAGGAAGGACGGGGCATTTTTGTGAAAGGTCCAGTCTGAAGCAATCTATAAGCAGTCTAAAAAAGCAGAGCCCAGGGTCACAGGAAGTCTAGGGCAGTCGCTCTTACCACACACCTAAATCAAGACCCGTGTCTCCTGAGAGTTGGATGACAGCCTCTAAGCTGTCAGTGATCATGAGTACAAACCCAACACACCAAATTAAGAAAAGCCAGTGAAGCCTGATTAGCCTACAAGCACTGGTGAAGGCTTTCCCACCAGTCAGTTTCTCTCAGGGTCGTGCACAGAAGTTATGACAGCCAGACACCACACTAGCACTGCCTCTATCAGTCAGACAGAGTCTGTGTCACAAAGACAGACTGGCCGGTCTTTTCCTACAGAACCTAGTGCTGTGAGGAAGGAAACCGACGGCAAACTCTTTGCTTATCCAAATAAGGCCTGTCCACAGCACTGCAAATGCAGGCTTTAGCCTCTGACCTTTCTGGCTCACTTAACCCCTGTTCTCTAAGCAGATACTACCTCCCAGCAGGCCAATTAAATGAGGCCACTGGCTGGGGACCTCTTGTCTGAGAACAGTGTGGTCACTAAAAAATAGCTGAACACAAAACCAAAAAGTACCTTATGACTGTGGCCCAGGAGTCAGTACAGAGCAATAACTTAAGGTTTCCCATCTAGATGGGTTGGTCACTTTCAGGGCAGGACAGATGAAAGATCGTCACTGAGGCTGGCTGTGCCTCAGGAATATAATGCACATTGGTAGGTCTGCCCAAGGCAGACAAAGGTCAGGGTGACCTCCAAAGTCTCCAACGGCTCTGAGAGTCTGTGTGCATGCACAAAGATCAGTATGCTAGTCACTCACTCGGCAACCTTTCCAGCTTGTAACTGTAACTCAGGGACACATTACCGCATGGAAAAAGGGATCTTGGGATATATTACTAACATCAGAGGGTGATTTCAGTACCTTGTTTATGAGTCAAAGCCTGAACTATTAAGACCTACTTAGACTTGTGTGATGAGAGTTGCTGCTGTTTTGGTCTGCCTAGAGTAAGGTCTGGAAGATAGGAATGTTTGCATTGAGGAGCCTATTTTCCCAGCATCCTTTTCTTCCTTAGCTAGAGATGCTCATGATAAAAGATTTTAAATTCTCTTCCTGGAAAGTCTGCAGATCATGGAAGCTCAGTCCCTTTCTACCCTCACCGGCAAGAGGCAATTAGGAACACCTTGGCAACAGCAGTGCTCAGCTGTTTAATGATACTAAACACTTCCTTTCACAACACTTCCTTTCACACGGTGTTCTGTTCACTGAGCTATTCATGGATGGCCTGGTATACTTGGGGCAGAAATGCTGCATTAAGCCATTCTCCTGAGCCAGCTTAGCCAGGACTCAAAAAGTCAGCTTTTAGCCCTGTGTTCAGAGCACTAAGAAATCTCTCTTCTCCTCCATATTTTCAGAAAACAACAAAAAACTATTTTCAAGGACTAGAGGGGCTAGGTTCTAGGACAATGGAAAAGAAGGAGGGAGGAGAAAAAGAACACAACATGGAAAGCAGAGGCAGAAGCAAGACAGGGTTTTTAAAAGGCACTCACCTCTCTTCCGCGTCCCAGGATGCATTGTGCTGTTAAGGTAGGTGACTGCGCTCTTCTTACGCTTTGGAGATTTAAGAAGGAGAGGTGACTATTGAATAACATGGTTACCATGAACACTGCAAACATGCTTATCACATGCTAACCAGTCTGTGCCAACCATCCCAAGGTCTCAACGCTAACGTGTTTTAGTATATGTATTTGGCTCTGAGAGAATACTCCAAATACTTCAAAGGGGCCTGCCTCTGCTCCATGACAGTGTGGTCAAGTCAGGATGAACTAAAACTGTAAGGTAGGATTGTATCTACCCAAAGTTAGCAAAACAAAACCTTAAGAGGCAAGCAGTGATGGATAACACAGGAGCATTCTGAGCAGAGAGAAGCATGTCACTTCACAGAGTTGATGAGGCTGAGGACAGTCACACTGCTCTTAGCAGCAGGCTTTCAGTGGGAGGGACTAACAAGTCACCCAGAAGCCAGAGCACAGGCAGGGCCAGTGCTGGCTGCAGTACCTCCGGCTCAAAGACGGCCCCGCTGTACACTGGGTTCGCGGTCGTCCTTCTCTTCCGCTCCTGCCTCTTGCTTTGGATTTCTTGAGAAGAGAAAGGCTTCAGTTAGAAGACAGGAACAAGGAAGCTAAGGAACAGAAGTTGGCCATTTAATGTACTGGGTTTCCTGCAATCAGTAAGGAACAGGGCAAGGCTTTGTTTCACTAAGGCCTCAACAGAAGCAGGCACACTATTCGTGTCTCTCAGCAGGGAAGGCCACACTGTCCTTCAGTGCACCGCTTTGCGAATGAGGCACTCATGTGGACCACTCTTGTACACAGTCATTCTCATTTATTTTTAGACTGCTGTGCATACAGGTCTGTATGAACTGTAGCCACAGACTACCAATCCAAATTCCTCAAATTCAGCACCCCGAACTAAGTAACAAGGGGCTGCAGAGCTTTGGAACTGTCCTTAGGATCCTGATGGCCCATCACTGGAACACAGAGACTTGTCAAAGGAGCACTGTTGTGAGACAAAGACCAGGAGTCACCTTCATTCAGGAAGCTAGGACGTTTCCTGAAGGACAGGAGTATGAATGGTACTAGGAAGGGGAGGGTTTGGGCATTACATGGACAGGAGGCAATTCTTCCTCTAAAGGAAATCCAGTCCACACTGGTTGAATTATACTCTATTTGTGCCCCAACTTCCTGATCTAGGAATTCAGGCAAAGAGTACTTTTAGGAACAAAACTAGGAAAAAGACCATGCTGAGAATATCTTCTCTTACCTTCTAGATGGTCATGTGTTACCAACCCTAGAGACACCATGAAGGCAAGTTTCTGTGACAGAGAAACAAAAGAATATATTTCAGTCTGGGATCTCACAAGGCCAATCATAGGTTTCCTAGTCAGAGAGCAGGAAAGCTGCCTTGACAGAGGTGGGATTCACGTGAAGAGCCACCACAGAGGCTTTCTGTTCTGACAAGGGTCAACATTTCCCACTTCTGCAAAGTCACACATCAGCATCTGGACTGATTGGTGTTTGGATTTTTTTGTTCAGCAGAATCTTCTTAAAGAGTACCCACAGTGGAGGAGTATGCAGAGGGCTAGGGAACCTCACAGCAGCAAGCTTTGAGTTCCAAGCATGCCACTCTTCACTGGGACGCTGGTTCCTCACATTTGCTCCCACGGCCAGACAGCAGGAACACCAGCTAGTGTTTTTAGGGACACTGGTAGGTGGTTCTGCTTAATACTGGGATTTTCAGGTAACATGAAAACTAACTATCATGGGGCAGTTTCCCTGCACCTGTATCCCTGAGACAGAACGTAAGATCTTTCAACCGGAAAGAGCAATGGACTGATGGTTATACTTTGCTTTGGCTGCTGCGATCTGAAAAGTATGTCTTCACTGTCTACTGAAGCACTGCATGGCTCCTACAGACCCAAGAACAGAGAAGGAAAGAGTCTCTGGTGAATGAAGACACCTTCAACTATTGGTCAACACATTCCCATAGTTACTAACAAGTTTGGTCTTACACACACACACACACACACACACACACACACACACACACACACACACACCCTCTCCAAGAGAGTAATCTCAGAAGGCTATATTCAACTGGAAGACAGCATTTGCTACTACACATGACGGTACCTGCAATGGGTCACTGACAAGAGATATCCTTTCTTTTTACAAATAAACTACGGTGTTTGTGCATGATGGTGAATGCCTGTAATCCAAGCACCAGGGAGGCAGAAGCAGGTGGAGTCTGCAAGTGTAAGGCCAGCCTGGGCTATACAGCCAATTCCAACTCAGCTAGGAACATAGAGCAAGCCCCTGTCTCAAAAAGGTTTCTTTTTGCTAAGTTTGCTGTTTCCTCTCAGTGTAATATTTGCCATTACTTTTTTGTGAATGATCTACAAGTTTTTCAGCAATATTGGTAACAAGCGCTTCTTTTTGGTTCAAGTTCTGGCCCTTTAAAAAATCCAGCTGATTTCACATCAGAGAGAAGTATGTTTGGTACCTGCTGGTTCAATAGATCATCATCTTCATGCCACTGTCTGGTATGGTTTCACTATGAGAATGCATTGAGGACAGAGGCTCCCATAAACTCCATCCCCAGCTATTTACCATCATAACCACACCACCATCTGTGTTTTCCTTCACTTCTGCCTGTGCAAGAGCATCAAGCTAGAATGTCCTCTCATCCAGGGACACACAGACAGCCCGTTGCCTAGGCGGGGCTTGTTGACTGCTTATGTCATAGTGAGTATGGACATTACCTTCTTCAACCCACTTTCATACTCTACTTTTGAGATACTAATTCCTTTGGGATTTATTGCTCTAATATAATAAAGTAGCCTAACAAAACTGAACACACAATGGCAATCCACAATGTAAAGAGACATCAGCTGATTCCCTCAGCTGCCTTATAGACGTTGTTGAGACAAGCACAGTACCGCCTTCCTTAGGAATGTTCAGGACACCTGGGAAATTAATCACTAATCCTCTGCACCAAGTTTACAGGATTTATATAAAAACATGGTTTCAGAACTCTTCCTTTCAGCACCCATACTTGGGCCCTCAGGACTCTGTGCTATAAAACCCTGCCCCAGGTCGACCTGACGTGGTAATCGCACCGCTGAGGGAAAGGAACACCGCGAGGACTAAACCCCGCGCCCTGAGCTGGCGGGCCGTGCAGAGGGTCCTACCTGAGGGTTCTCTTCTCGTTTTGGTTTTGGGGCAGCAGGTGGAGTGATGGTACGGCTCTCTGCTTGTTTCTCCTCTGTTTCTGTGTGGGATTTAACTGTCTAGGAGAGAACAATTAAGCAAAAATTCAGAATTAGTTTTTTTATAAAAGAATTGAAAACAGTTTAATAATGTATTCCAATACAAAACATTAACAGATAAGTTCATATGATGCATCTTGTTGAGGAGGAAGAAAAAATGTCAAAGTCCAGCAAGAGACACTGGATTTCATGACTGGGGTAAATATGACTCTATAAATACAATCAGATAAAGGTATATAGTTCTTACATATAAAAACAGAAGTGCTGAAGGTAAAGTACCTGTTGCCAAGTTTGATAACCAGAAATTTGATCCCCAAGATCCACATGGTGGAAAAAGACAACTAACCTCCCTGAGTGTCTCTTGACCCCCACATGAGCACCACGGCACACTCACTGCCCAGGAAATAATAAGGCAAACAAGGGCTCAGAGGTTAAAAGCACTGGCTTCTCTTGAAGTGGATCTCGGTTCAGTTCTCAGCAGCTACATGGCAGCTCACAACCATCTGTAACCAACCTCTTTTGGCCTATTTGGGCACCAGGCACACACATGGTGTACAGACATAAATTCAGGCAAAATATCCAAACATATGAAATTAAAAGGTGATAAGAAATATTTTTTTAAAGGCAAAGAAAAACTAAAGTAGAGGCTGTTTTCCTTGGCTGTGGGATGTGGAGATGTCCAGAAACATCCCATTGTTGTTATATACAGGACAAGTTCTGTGTCCACATGTGCTTAAGATCTGTGTGACATAACAGTTCTTCTATCCCAAGCTTTTCTTCAGAACAACCCCAAGCACTACCCAGAACTACCTTAACTTGGGGTGCTTAAAAACTGCCTTGCAAGAGGCTGAAGTTCTAATCCCTCCCAACTCCTAGAAGCATTCACTTCAACACAGAAACACCGGTCACATTACTATCTGCTGACACAAATGGTAGCTAGTACACAGGCAGTCTTGCATTACTGTTCTTATTATGAGTAATGGCTAGTTCTTTTGTGAGTTCTGTAGAAATAAAATGGTTTTAGAACAGTAGACATAAAACTATAAATACAAACTTAATTTACTTTTAGAAAACTAATGAAAATTGTAGGTGCAATGGTCTTTTTGTAAGGTAACAACAAGTAATTAAGTAAATTAGAATAAAATCTGATTATTGATAGGCAAGAGCTGACTGCAAGACTTCAGCCCCATAAAAAAGATACTGAAGTCTCTTTTCATACTTTGCCTCTGGCTTTGCACACTGTTACATAGGTATAAGATGTGCTTATCAATACTGGGGCAGTCACTGCACCGGGGCCCAGCTGCTGCCCCACTGCTCTAAGCAGCACCCTGCACTGCTCAAAGCAGTGTCCGCCCTGCCGTAAGTCAGTCTCCCTCTGTACTACACGCCGCCATGTGAGCAGCGGCTGCTTGTGCACTCCTTGTTACTGTACGCCTTTGAGCTGGCATGGCACCTCATGCTTGCATTCAATAAAGCACTGGCCTCCAGGAGAATCAAGCAAACTTCAGTCTCTTTCTCAATCCCCTTCTCCTTCCTTACCCACATAGTTTTTAATTTAGCCCAAAAAGGGCCTATTTCCTCCATAAAGCAAACCTTTAATGGGAAAGCCATTCATAGTGACATTACTAAGGTTTGAGGTACTCAGAATTAGCTTATTTTCATGACGTTGAGTGTGGAAGGACAGGAGAGTGAGACAGGTCAGCCACAGGGTTTGTATTCCATTCCTGTATGAACAGATCAACAGTTCCCTGAGAGCCTCTCTCTCCTATTTCCAAGGTTGAACAAACACTTGGCAGCAATGCTCCTGGGCAGGGCAAGCCCCTCTGCACCAAGGGTTACCCACGCCCACATTTCTCTTTCTCTCTCTGAAAAGCAGAACACACTGAGTCGCATAAAGAACATTGAAAAAACCACATCTAAACAAAAATAAAGCAATCCAAACATGAGGGGGAGGGTCCTTTCTCTCAAGGACCCCTGGCTCTAGGAGAGGGCAGCTGTCACGTGCCCAGGACTATGGAGACACTCAGGCCGGATGAAATAATCTCCTGCCCACAACCAGCAAAAAGCAAGGCCAAGAGTCACTTGACTGAGTTTAGACATAAACTACCCAACTCTTGTTAAGCCTCGGGACAGCTGCAGCTCTGGCCTTTGACTACAAACTTGTGAGGCCTGGAGCCCAAACTATCCAGCTAAGCTGCAGACCAGAAGGCAGAGGAGCAATGTTCTTAAAGGGTTGCGTAAAACAGACAAACAAAACCCAGAAAAAACAAAGCCATTGCCTAACAATCCTATATTGTGTTAAAACTATCCTTGAAGAATGAAGGATCAATTAAGAGACTGAGATGAACAAAAGCTAAGGCCCTCTTATCCACTGCCAGCACACCTGCCGTAAAGAAATGACAGGCAGCAAACTGTCACCTGAAGCCACAAAGAGAACTCCAGTCAAAGTACGACACAGGCCGCATCACAGCAGTTCTGATTAGTAACTGCTCACTCTTTTCCTACATAAAGATGAATGTATGGACAACTGTTAAATCTGGACTATACTTACACACTATAAAGATGTAACTTTGACACAACATGCATTGTAGAGCAGAACTGCACAGGAGCAGAGATTCTGTGTCACTGAAACTGAACTGGGATTAATTAAAATGAGATTGTTAAAGCTAACTGTAATCTTCATTATAACTACTAAGAAAATTAAATATACATGGAAAAGAAGGATATAGTGGAGAGATGAAAATGTACACCAGGAAAAAGAAACACAAAAAGGCCAGTATTGAAAGAACAAGGGAAGAAGACGATGTAAGACATGCAGACAGCAACACAGCCAAGTACCTCCGCACTGGTGACCACTGAAGTCCAACTGGATTCACCCCACAACTAAAAGGCAGAGTGGCAGAGTGGATAGGTAAGTCATGCTTCCGCTGGAGCCTCACTCTAGAGCGGACGGGAGAAACACTGAGCAGACTATTGTTGTGTGTTCTGGGGCAGATCAGCATAGAGCTTGTTCAGTTTTCTTATTTACTCGTGTTTTCCTGTCTACGTGCTGTAGCCATTATCTAAACTGGGGAATTAATACTTCCAGCCATTGGTGTGGGACAGTCTGTCTCTTCAATTCTGTCAGTATTTACTTCATAAATCTTGGGATTTTCTTGATGGGTGCATATATTAAAATTCTTATATCCCCTTTTCAGATCAATTCTTTCATCTCTGTATTTTGGCACAAGAAACATCTATGCTGGGGCTGGAGAGATGGCTCAGCAGTTAAGAACACTGGCTGCTCTTCCAGAGGTCCTAAGTTCAATTCCCAGCACCCACATGGTGGCTCACAACCATCTGTAATGAGATCTGGTACCCTCTTCTGGCCTGCAGGCATACACGCAGACAGAACACCATATAATAAATAAATAAATCGGCCGGGCGGTGGTGGCGCACGCCTTTAATCCCAGCACTCGGGAGGCAGAGCCAGGCGGATCTCTGTGAGTTCGAGGCCAGCCTGGGCTACCAAGTGAGTTCCAGGACAGGCGCAAAGCTACACAGAGAAACCCTGTCTCGAAAAAAAAAATAAATAAAATAAATAAATAAATCTTTTTTTAAAAAGGAAACATCTATTCCTTTTGTGTTTTTAACTTAGAGTTGATTTTGCCTGGTGTAATATAACATGACTTTAAACATAGGAGGGGCAGGTGCAGAGGCAGGGCCAGGGGGAATCTCTGTGAATTCAAGGCAAGCCAGGGCTACATAGTGAGACCTTGTCTCAAAATAAACAAACAAATGAACAAAAAACTCAAACTTGGTCCTCTGGGAAAAAACATCAACAAGAGTTATAAACTTCTGGAGACCAAGGAAAAAAATGAAAAAGCAGAAGAGGGACATTATTCCTAATCTTACTTATAGTAGTGAAATAGTATTTTAAAGAGACTACATCAGATAACTGTATGATAATCAGGTAACACAAAAGAAATGGGCAAATCTCTAGAAATACATTACCCAAGCTGACCCAATATGAGACAGTTAAGTCTAAACAAACATTGAAACACTAGACTGAAACAGTAATCAAAGTTTCCCCAAACAACATCAGATGGTTCATCTGAGCTCCACCAAATTTAAAGAATATTAGTCAAAGTCCTTTAAATAAATAGGGTCCTAGGAATTGATGAAATGGCTCAGTGGTTAAGGGCACTTGTGTTCTTGTAGAGGACCTGCGTTGAGTTCACAACACCCATATTAAGCAGCTCACAACCACCTTTAACTCCAGCTCCAGGGACCCAAAGCCCTCTTCTGGACTCTGCAGGTACCTGCACACACACGTAATTTGAAAATTAAAAACTCTTTAACACACACACACACACACACACACACACACACACACACACACACACACACACACCACTACCAAAAGCTAATAAACTCAGCAAAGTTGCAGGGTACAACAGTGTATTGAAGGACAGCAACAATAAAGTAAAAAGAACCTACAGAACAAGAGAAAATATTAAAAATAATGTTGTCTGCTAAGGGCACACTAAGTGAAAAATTCCTACAGTTTGCCAAGAGAAAGAGTACCGATTCTACTTAGAAGTGGACAAAGAGGGTTTGAGAGATGGCTCAGTGGTTAAGAGTTCTTGTTGTTCTTGCAGAGAAAGGACCCAGGTCTGATTCTCAGCACCCACATGGTGGTTCACAACTGTCTATATCTCCAGTTCCAAGGGATCTAATGCCCTCTTCTGACCTCCATGGGTACATGATGCACAGACACACATGTGAACAAAACACTTACCAAACACAAAATAAATAGATCTAGAAATTTTTTGAAATAAAAAGTGGAGAAAGGGTTTGAACAGATTGTTCTTTGAAGAATATATACAAATGCCAATAAACATGAAAAGAAACTAAATAGTATTAATAATTATGGAGATGAAAAAACTCACTTTCTTTGCATACTTCACATGCCCTAGGATAGCTTTAAACAAAACATTCTTTTATTAGCATGACTATCAAGCAAATGAAATGCACATATA